GACCGAGCGTTTCTATCTCTGGTGCCCGACCCCGTGTGGAGTCTCCAAACCCAGCAGATCCCTGCGGTGCGCTCCCGCGCCGCTCCTCCCAGGGGGAGGACGAGGGTCTCCCCAGACCTGCTGCTTGTTGGGTCCCTGCTGGAGGAGCAGTGGCCCGACTGGGCCACGGATCACGGTTTATGGCAACACCGAGCTGAGAGCCCGCGCCTCGGCTCCATCTCTGCAGCCGGCTTCCCTGCTATGATACCTGGGAGCTCTGGCACCCCCGGTCTTTCTGTGACCCCGAGGGTCCTGAGACCACACTGTCCCGCAAGGGTTCCATCTCCCGCTTAGCCACTAGAGCGACGTCCCTCAGCAGAGCCGACTTCTAAAAGTTCCGATTTTGTGCTCCGCGGCTCTATCACTTGCCAGAAGCGGCCGACGGAGGCCCCCTCCCCCGCCGTCTATCCTCCCAAATATCGCCTCGGATTCACTTCTCCGGACATCCTACCTTCCAGAAAGCGGTCGCTTTTCTGTTCAGAGAGTTGTTACTATTCTTATCTTCGATCTCCTGTTGATTTCGTAGGTGTTCAGAATGGTTTGATCCCTATTCAGCTGAATTCCTGAGACCCGACGACATCCAGGTCTCCCACTCCTCCACCATCTTGCTCCCCATGTTTGATTTTTTTGAGGAACCACCATACTCTTTCCCACCGCGTGATCCTTTCCTCCATAGCCATGGCTGGTTTTCGCCATGGCTACGCCTATTTAGGTAAAAGTTATGCCCACAGGGGCGCCTGGGTGGCTCAGTTGGTTAAGCGACTGCCTTCGGCTCGGGTCATGATCCTGGAGTCCCGGGATCGAGTCCCGCATCGGGCTCCCTGCTCAGCAGGGAGTCTGCTTCTCCCTCTGACCCTCTTCCCTCTCGTGCTCTCTATCTCTCATTCTCTCTCTCTCTGAAATAAATAAATAAAATCTTAAAAAAAAAAAATCTATGCCCACATTGCTCAAGGTCAAGCTACCACTGCCTGCATCACAAAGCCCAAACTTTTGCCAAGCCTGGGCCCAGGGTCAGGGCCTGAGCCAGGCCTTCAGGACCCACTTGCCATTTGCTTAAGGCCCAGCAGCATCCAATTGTCTAAAAATAGCTGCTTGCCTTTGGATCAGGCCACCATATGCTGCATGACCTACCAAGGTGAAAGTCCCACAAGGCTGTCCTGAAACTGCCAGCCCAGCTCGGAACAGTTAAAAGCCAGCTCCCCAAGTGCAAAAGCCAGAGTGTTGCACAATACAGGCCACTGTCACTTGGTCCAACGAAAAGTCTCAGGATCTAAGTGTTCACTTGTTCTCCACATTGCTTTTTTTGTCTGTTTTTCAGGGTCTCTGGCACATTTCAGGAGGGTGGAAGGTGGTGGGCAACAAATGGCTCTTCTCTTTTTTTGGGTTCTGAACCAAATGTGAAGTAAGACAAAAAGAACTTGAAGTGTTTAAGAAAAAATAACAACAACCACCCACTTCTCTTAGAAACCAAAGGAGAGTGGAAGAGGAGTTTCCCCTCTTACAACTTTGATGTGGGAAAAATGCTTCCCAGAAGCATTTATTTGTTGTGGAATTTTACTCATTTAATGCATTAACTGTGAGTGAACAAGAAAGGACAATAACACTCCCTTTGGAAGGTCTACTCTGTGCCCTGTGCTGTGTCCTGTGTATCTCATTTAGGGCTCTTAACATAGCTGCGAACTCACTAACTCTGTGTTATCGAAGAGGAAACTGAGTCATAGGCAGGGTAGGGGATGTCCCTAAGGTTTTGTGGCTGGGGTTTCATCTCGAATTGAATTAACGGCAAAGCCTTCTCTAAAATAGATGTGGATAAGAGGAAAAGCAAGACATGTACATTAATCCTCTCCCCCCCCCCCCGCGCCTTGAAACAGAAAAACGAATTCCAGCCATTTCCTCGGTTTTTACAGATATTTTAGCAAGGGTTTGGGCAATGTTAGGTGAATTTTGTTCCAGTGGTTAAGTATCTAAGGATTAGCAAGGCAGTGGTTATGGGGAGGGCTGAAGCCCCGTTGCTGGTGAAGGGTGAAAGCAGCCCTACGGTGCTAATAACTCCGCTGAGCCCGTCCGTTGTGCAGAAAACACTAAATTAGGAGTTTGGTTATAGAGCATGGCCGCTGTGGGGAAGGGACCCAAGAGAGGGCCTGTTTTATGCAAGCTCATTTGCTATATAGACTGTATTGTACCTAGCACTGTGTATGTGGGCCACCCTCTGGACTGGTCACATGGCTTATACAGGATCTGGGTTCCTGCTGACACACATGCTGGTGTAAGACATTTACCTGGATAAGAACCTTTAAAATTTAGCGTTCAAAATTGTGGAAGGGGAGGAAAGCAAGATCTAATATTGGAATTTGTCTATAATTCTTTTATATATTCCTTAACTATTCCTTAAATACAAGGTTTCTGTGTGTGGTCATTACTATGAATGCCATAATTTCAAGGCCCTTGATCACTATGTTATAGATTCTCATATGCTTTTGTTAAGATGTTGGTTTATTCTTGTTAGTAGAAGTCCTCTAAGAGGGCAGGACTTGAAGTCTATCATTTTCTTTCCTCTTTACTTGTACACGATCCCCCCACAAATCACACTCTGCCCGGGGCCTGCCGCACAAACACCAGTTTCTTAGCAAGAAGAGAACTAGGTGATTTCTTCTCTCTTAGATCCAGTTGACTAGAGTCATAACACAAAACCATGGGAATATAAGCCGTTACAAAAGGGGGTTTTTAACACTGCCATTTTCTGGACTATTATTGCCTTATCTCCTGGTAGGGTTTTCTAATACGTGTTTCCATGGTGAAGAACTTTCCGGCTTTTAAGTTTAGGAGAAGTAGACTTGGTCTGTTCTGATTTACTTAGAAAAAGTACTGACCTGTGTTAAAAGACCTGCAGGTTTTTTTTTTCTGGTTTCCACTAGCCAACCTTAGGACCTTTGATAAGTCATTTAACCCCACCAGACCACATTTCCCCCCATCTTCTACAAGAGAATAATACCATATACTTTACGTGGAAATTACCAAGAAATTATTTTATTTTTTAGCTGTAAAATTTATGAACTAATTTGTTAAAGTGATTTGGGGGGTTTGAAAAGTAGAGAAGTAGGTTTCTGTTTTCCTTTTATAATCTGCCCAGGCACACCCTTGGATAAGGGGATGTCCCACCATCATAACAAATGTGCTCAGCTGGGTCCCTTTCAGAGAGAATTTAATGCGTGCGTGTGTGTGTGTGCGCGCGCGCGCGCGCATGCGTGTGTGTGGTTGCCCCAGGTGGCTCATGTTTTGGTTATAGTTTACTTTCTTAAGTCAAGATTACAATAGTTTTGTTCTTTCGATAAAGACATGAACTGTTTAAATTGCTCTTCTAGAAAAATTGGCCTGCTTCAGGGACAGTTTGGAGGTGCTGCGACTCCCCCTTGTGGGACTCTGAAATGTTGTACAACAAATGAGACAATTTGGTAGTTTATTTTTGTTATGCTTCCAGCTAAGAGAGGAATCTTACTTAAAATGGTAAATTATAAATTCATCTAGAAACTTATCAAAAATGACCAAATACTGGGCTTTATATCACATCAGATCACTGTGCAGATTGGATTGTTTAATCGTGCTCAAAAATCATAATTTTGAACTTACAACATTTCAACGTTTGAAGAAATATTTTAGGTAAGAGAATTACCGTGTGAGGTTAAGGCCTATAATTAAATTACTGTAAATTTTCAAAAAACATAACTATTATAAATGCATATGTTGAAAATGTGTTGATATGGGTTTTTCTTTAAACTTTTTTTTTGAAGTTTTAGGTCAGAAGTACAAGTCAAATGACAGGCTTTGATATATTCTTTTATTTTATAGCTATTGTTTATTATTTTTAGTTTCTTGCCCATTTCAAGCTTGCCTTTTTCAAGCAAGCATCTGTGGCTGTGTGCCCACTTCTCTTCATTCACTAATTGCATATTGAATTAAGTGGTAGACATTGTGGTAAAAACATCAGACAAGGTGCTTACAATCTTCTGGGGAAGACAGACCTTGAGCAGGTTGTTACATTATAATGAGGAGTGTTCAGGAAGGTCAGGGAAAAGGTGCTGTGGGTATAAGTAATGGGCAGTTACCCCAGCTGTGATGTCAGGGAAAACCTTGGTGAAGGGGTTATTTGAGCTGGACATGAAGGTTTAACTAGGTAGAGGAAGGCTGGATATGGGGATGTGAGTTCACAGCAAAAGAATACATTCAGAGGTTGAAGGCAAAACAGAGCAGAAAGCAGACCAGTGAGGCTGGAGCATAAATAAGGAGGTAGAGACTGGGCAGGTGCCTGAGTTTTGAAGCTACAGTTAAAGGATTTGGTCTTTGAAGGGTTTTGAGCAGATAATGGCGTCACCTGATTGGCACACTTGTAAACTCACTTTTGATGCATTGTGGAGACCGGAATGGAGAGGACAGAGATAGACACAGGGAGACTAGCCTACCTGTCTCCTCCCTCCCTCTCCTCCTCCCTTCCACGAGGACAAGTGTCCTTAAACTTTGTCTGTAAAGGCCTAGAGAGTAAATTTTGGCTTTGCAGGCCACACTGTCTCTGGTGCAAGTACTCATCTCTGCAGCTTGTAGCATGAAAGCAGCCATAGACAATACACAAAAGAATGAACATAGCTGGGTTCCAATAAAACTTTATTTACAAACACAGGCAGTGGGCTGGATTTGGCCCATGGGCATAGTTTGCTGACCTCCGATCTCCACGGTATTGGGAATGAAGAGAAGTGAATGGATTCAAGGGTACTGAGGAGGTAGGGTCAGTATAACTTGGTTATGGGTTTGTGTGAGAAGGGTAAGTGAGGAGGTGGAGTGAAGTTGGTTTGCAGGTTTCTGTCATAAATAACTGTATGAATAATGGTGCCACGATGACACGCACAGCAAGGGTAGCTGTCTCGGCGAGTGTGAGCATTCAGGAGGTTGCCCGGCCATCGGTTGGGCATAGGTGTGTGGAGAGGTCTGAGTTGGAGAGAGAAGTGCAGGCAGCTTCAGTGTGTCACAGAGCTTGCCTGGAGAGAGAGACTGAAGAGGGCAAAAGACAGAATCCGGAGTAACTCTTAACATCTTGAGAGGAGAGGGGGAAGAGCCACAAAGGAGGTGCCAAAGAGGAAGGAGAAGAACCAAGAGAAGCACATGTGGATAATGGGGTTAAACTGGCAGAAGACTTGGGCAAAATGAAAAGTGTCTCTTGGATTGAGATATGAGGCGGTCATTTATAACTGCGTAAAGCAATTTCAGAGAGTAGTGGGCTTTTTCTGTCTTTGATGGTGGGACTCATTTACAAAAAGACAAATTCAGAAATGTAGTTCTTCCTTAAGATTTTAGGTTCAGTTTACAAATGGTATTGTTCTGTTTAAGTCCAGTAGATACTAGCAATTACTTTTTAAAACAGCTTTTGGTTAATATTTGGTCCCATTTACAAGCTTGGCTAAACTCCTTAACTATCTTTACTGCATTTTAAAATGCATTATATTTGATTCCAATTTTGGTACTTTATTTTTTATTTTTATTTTTCTTATAATTTTTTTAAAAGATTTTATTTATTTATTTGAGAGAGAGAGGGATAGCATGAGACAGGTGAGGGTCAGAGGGAGAAGCAGACTCCGCAGTGAGTAGGGAGCCCGATGTGGGACTTGATCCCGGGACTCCAGGATCATGACCTGAGCTGAAGGCAGTCGCTTAACTGACCGAGACACCCAGGTGCCCCAATTTTGGTACTTTATTTGCTGAATGACAATTGCAGTAGTTAAAAATGTGTTTTTTTAACGTAATATACTTAGGTAATTCTTAATAAATCTAACAAATTAAACACCATCGTGGTGGTTCTACTTAATACTAAATCTTCCTGGAGTGAGTAAATGCTTACCCACAATTAAGTCAGCCAAGGATTTGGGGAATGCCCCTTACTATACTGAGATTTCCTGGTGTCCTGACTGTGGCTGCCAAGCCGAGTGCCTTTTTTTATTTTATAATCACTATGCCAGATACATCAGACTGAACAAAAAAGGAGCCCTCACAGCTTAGGTTGTTTGGATTTACGTGCCTCGCTACCTGACTGCTCTTTGCCTTCGCTGTATGCAGCCCCCACCCTCCCACCCACACGGCTATATTCCTGGGTTGGGGTTTGCATTTCCTCCTCTTAAAGATATACCAGTTATCATCCCATGTGGCTGTTAAGATCTTTGGATTTGACGAAATTCTGCATTCTTTTCATTTACTTTGGTCTCTTCCATCCATAGCTCTTTCACATATTAAAAATGATCATGATGGCCAGTGGAATTTTAGACCCCTCTGAGTGTTTTGTCACCACTTCTAACGTCATTCTACTAATGGAAGGCAGACATAAGAACAGTCAATTGGCTATTACTGGGTGAACCTACTTTGAAATGAAAGACTCCTATGTTGAAACAGAATGTTCAAAAAGTACAAGAAATGCCAAACTACAGTGTTCCTGTGTATATTTAGAACATATTTATCTCCTTACTGCCATAATAGGAATTTTCATGTTGCCCAAGGGAGAGCTTATGATTTCCATTAGAATGTAAGCTCAGTGACAGTTTTCTGTCTTACTCATGTTTATTTCCAGCTACTAGAATAATACCCAGCATTTAGCAGATGCTCAAATATTTATTAAATGAATGAGTGTCCTGAATAAATGATAGTTTACTACGAATATGAGATTGAACTTTTTGCCTCTTTTAAGTGTTTACCCCCCTTTTTTCTTCTTTTAGGCAGAAACCACTAATACTAGCCTCTTGCAAGTGCAACTGGAATGCAGTTTACATAATAAAGTGTGTCAGCAATTAAAGGTAAACTAAAAAATTCACTGTTTTTATCCTTCCTTTCCTGCCTCTTGGCTTGGAAATCAAAAATAAAATGACATATTCTGCTTTCAGAAATACACATGCCCTTGCTTTTCTTTTCCTAAATTTGAAATCACCAAGTTTGGATGATTTTTTTTTTTTTTTTTGAGTTTTTCCTTTTTTTCCATCCCTCCAATCTCAGAGTTGTTATATGGAATCTGATGATGTTTTACGGCTACAAATGAGCATAATTGTGACCATGGAAAACTCCTCAAAAGAATTTGAAGAAAACACACAAGATTTGTTAGATCATCTTTCTATTATTTATGTAGCTACAGATAAATCTGAGACCTCAGGTAAGGTGGAATCTTTTAAAATTTTTATTATATATTTTGGTTAATCTGCATCATCATTCTTACAGCATTTACTTGTAGATTCTATCATATATGCAATGCAAGACAAAAAGCCTTTGCTTTCATTATTAAGAGATTGAAACAGTAACTGGTTCTCATTCTGCAACTGCTAGTAAGACTGTATTATTTTGGAGTAAATTAAGTGGCAACTGTGAACCATTCTGAGTTTCCTTGGGAATAATTTTTCTTGGCATTCTGGAGATAGTAAACAAGTTAAACAGGCACAAGAATCTAATATAAATATTCACAGAGTATTTTAAGTCTCCTGTTTCTTGTTCCATTGTTACTGATTTGCAGAAGCTCAGTTAAATCATGCTGTTTTGTACTTTTAATAGTTGATTGGGTGCTGGTTGTTCTTGGATGCCTGGCAAGTGAGGATAGTGAGAATTTTAGTGTTCATTTCTATGAATTTTGTCTTTGAAAATGTGTGTGCCATGTACCAGAAGTTACCTAGTTCATCAGTTTAAGTTTCTAAGAACTTTGGTAGGCAACACATGTTATATAATCCATGACATTTATAACGTAGACATTTGCTATTATCCATTGGTTAGCAAGACTGTGCTGGTATATTTGTATATATATGTATATGTATATATATGTGTGTGTGTACTTGTGTGTATATGCACACACACACATACACATATAAACACATATATCCGTATCTGGAGAAAGAATTGTTGTTAGCAAAGCATAATTTTATTTAGGAGTCTTAATTGTTGGTCAAGCATCATTTACTTTCCATTCGTCAGAATTGGTTATAGTAGTAATGGTTCAGCAGGAGAGCTGCCCTGTCCTTGGGCTCATAGTTTTGGTGATTCTCAGAATGGCCAGGTAGACAACAATGTAGAGAAGACCCCTGTCCCATGGGGAGCACTTTTGGTGAAGGTTAAAAGGAAGGCTGTGCTTTGAGATCCCAGGGTTTTGTTTTTCCTCAAATATGATCATCTAAATAAGGAAATGAGGGACTGTCTAATCAACAGGAGGACATAGCTTTATTTAAAGCTATCCAGTTGGTTAGTTTCATCCAGAGGAGTTATAGTATGGCCCTAAACTCAGAGTTTCTCCACTGGTAGTTCATCATCATTTAGAGATCCTATATTTGAAGGTCAATCTTTTTGTATGGATCTTTTTTCTTGTGACTTAAAAGAATACCCAACAGAAAATAGCTCCCTGTTTCAATTGTAGTGTTGAAAAACGAGTCACATTTTGTATAGAAATGTGTAATATGGTATTTTAACTACTATATTAAGGTGTGAGAATGAGATGGCTCTTTGTTTTAATCTCATTGCTCTGATTTTTTTGGACAGATGATTCGGCAGTAAATATGTATATATTACATTCAGGAAACAGCCTTATTTGGATACAGGTAATTGTAAATGCTTACATAAAGTAAATTTTAAACTGACAAGGGTGTGTTTAGTTGGAGAGCATGAGGATTTTTCAGGAACAGTTACAGAAACACTTGTCTCAGTTCTCTTTTGCTTTAGTTTATACCCATTTTCCCTTGCTTGAACCCATATTAGGATGAAGGTTGTCAGCACCCCCTTCATATTGTTATAGACACATATGCTGAGCAGTTACTTGTATGCCAGTCTGAGCCACTTAGTTCTTTTAACAGAGTTGATTCAAATTGGATAAACATTCACCCAGCTGAGGATAGTAATACGGAGTTTTTTTTTGTAGGATGTACATCATTTCTCACAGAGAGATGCTCTGTCCCTGCAGTTTGAACCAGTCCTCCTACCTACTTCTACGACAAACTTTACAAAAATCGCCTCTTTCACTTGCAAAGGTATAGATTTTAAAAATATTGGAGATTGTCTTTTTATTTTCATTATCTAGTTATGATCATTCTTTCTATGAAATGACTTAGAACTACAGAGTAATAAGTAAGGTTTTCAGAAAGTGAATGGGTTTGATTATAATACTGCAGCCTTAATAGTTCTAAGAGAGAGAATCACGGAAAGAATGATTGTTGGTGTCACTTTTATTCTGCCACATGTGTAGGAGTTTGCATTTAAAGCTTAACTGCCCCAGTTGTGTTTCTTGGTGCAGAATGCGATGCAGATCTAGTGAGTATAAACCCAGTCCTCACTTTGGGTTCTTATTTATTTATGGTAAAGTTCTGTAAAGAAATGCAGATGGTCTTAAACGTATGAAAACATGCCCTGCCTCACTTATATTTCAAAAAATGTTAATTAAAGCAACACGTGAGATATAATTTATTACTTAGATCGATAAAATAAAAACATTGTTAATATTCTGTGTTGGTAATGATTAGGGGGAAAAAACATATTTTTGACAAGAGTATAAACCAATGCAGGCTTCTTTAGAGGGAAAATTGACAGTCTAAGAAAATTTAAAATGCACATAGATGCTCTTTGATCCTTCTACATCAAGGAACCATCTGCAGATATACTCATGTATGTATGCACAACTGTACCTACAGAAATGTGCACTGTTGGTGACAACAAAGCAGTGTCAACATCCATAGATAGGAGGCTGGTGAATTGTTGTGCGTGTCGTGTTTTTTAAGGGGTGTCTATGTACTTGTGTATGTACAGAACACTGGATGGATGCATAAGAATCTGCTAACAGTTGTTTCCTCTAAGATGATTGGGAACTCAGGAGTGAACAGTAGACTTTATTTTCACATTTTTGTTAGTGTTTGAATATTTTCTTGGAGCCATATCTGTAGCTTAAGAAGAAAAAAAAGACTAGGGGAGCCTGGGTGGTTCAGTTGGGTAAGCATCTGCTTTCAGCTCGGGTCAAGCCCTGAGTCAGGCTCCCTGCTCAGCGCAGAGTCTGCTTCTCCCTCTCTCTCTGCCCCTCCCTCCTTCACGCGTGCGCCCACGCTCTCCCTCTCTTTCTCTCTCTCTCAAGTAAATAAATAACCCCCCCCCCAAAAAGACTTGAATATTAGTATCAGAGTTAAGAATTCAATACCAGTGTCTTAATATTGCAACCTAGCTCAAGGAAAGCTTGAAAGTGTTGTTTTGATAATTCACAATGTTTCGGACTTCATTCCTACTTTCACTGTGAAGCTCCTTCTTGCTATTTTGGTTGTCTTCCTTCCTTGCTCCTGTCTCCACATGCTTCACCCCACCCAGCTGAGCATCATTTTTCACTTTTGTCATCCCTGGCAGAACTAAAGACTTTATTTATGGTGAATGCAGATCTTTGTAAAGAGAAGCCACAAAGCATTCACTCTCTCTCTCTCTCCTTTTTTTTCCCCCCAAAAGAAGAAATGAGAGGTTGGTTTAAAAAAGGGGTGGATGGGGGTGGGTGGGTGGCAGACACCGTGTTCTAGATGATTGGCAACAAGCCAGCAGAGAAAAAGATAGTGTTTGAGAAAGGATTTTACCATTGATATCTGATGCACTGTTTTAATGGAGGCTGAAAAGCAAAGTAATTAGAAAGTTATAAATAAAACATAGATCTTGTTTTTGTTCACATTTATTTCTTTGTGTCTCAAAACAGCTACGTCATGTGACAATGGGATTAAAGAAGACACAAAGAAAATAAAAAACACTTCAACACTAAAAGCATGTCTCTCCTCTCCTGTGGTTCAAGGGTAGGTAATGATTCCACTTTCCCTTAATCGTATGTTCGTTTGTTTGTTTTCATCTCGCAATGATTTGAAAATATTACTGATAAGATGAGTGTATGATTCTCTCTCTCGGGACTTGCCTTCCATACATTAACACAGCTAACAAGCAGTGGGAGGGCAGACTGCAGACTGGGGGAGAGGAAACGGGATGGTTCAGTTAGCGGCGCAGGTCCTGGGCCAGGGAGCCGAGCTGGGTGTGGGATAAAGAAGAGGGTGTGCCTTTGGGTCCTGGCTTTGCCCTGGTGGCCTCCGTGAGCTGGCCTGGTCCCTTCCCCTCTGGCCTTCAGGTGCTCCCCTTGTGGGCGTGAAGGTTGAAGAAGGCAGTCTCGAAGCTTGTTTCCTAGCACTACCAACCTTCATGCTCTGACGTTTTATGATGCTTCTCTTTTTGTGCTCAGAGGCAGGGTGAGTGCTGACAGTTGTCTCAGGCTCCAGGCTGATGGCGTGCCTGTCCTGTGTTCACAGGTATTTTAGAATGGACTCCTCTGCAGCCCAGTTTCACATAGAGACTCATGAGAACACATCAGGGGTTTGGTCAGTGTGGTACCTCAACCATTTCGACCGTGGCGTTGTATTACAGGCTGTGTTTGTTTCCAAGGAAACCAAGCACATTTTAAAGGTACATATGGTATTTTTATCCAGGTTTTAGCCTATTTTAAGCTTTATTTAAGGTCGGATGCTATGAAATTAATATTTATAAAATTTCATTTTTACTTCTGATTTTTAAAGCAAGTATTTTTCTTTCAGTGTTTTCAGAGTTACTTCTGGGACCTCTTTATTTATTTTTTTAAACTGTTGTTCAAGGAGTTAAAAGGGACCAAGATATATTCTTAAATGATATTTGCTCTTACCATTGTTCAAAAAGATTACAGTGTATAATTTATACTAAAAAGATTGTATTTATTAAAAGCCTAATTAATGACAAAATAGACTTTTTCAAAATACTACCCCATGAAAATTTCAAGATTACTTTTGTGAAATTTAAAACCAGTAGCATACACAGCATTTAAAACCTTTCATTTATATAAAAATATTTCAATCTTTGACCTGAAAATAAGTGAGTAAAATTATATTTTTAAAAGTACAGAAGACCTTTAGCATCATACTTTATAATGGTCTTTTTTTTTTATTATGTTATGTTAATCGCCATACATTACATCATTAGTTTTTGATGTAGTGTTCCATGATTCATTGTGCATAACACCCAGTGCTCCACGCAGAATGTGCCCTCCTTAATACCCATCACCAGGCTAACCCATCCCCCCACCCCCCTCCCCTCTAGAACTCTCATTTTTAAAATTTTTTTTTATTATATTATGTTAATCACCATATATGGAACACTACATCAAAAATGAATGATGTAATGTATGGTGATTAACTTTATAATGGTCTTAATCCTAATTAGTGTTAGGAAAAGTAATTTCTCTTGCTTTTTTTCTTTTTAGATTCTGAATTTCACTGGCCCTTTATTTCTACCTCCAGGCTGTTGGAATATATTTTCTTTGAAACTTGCTGTTAAAGACATTGCCATAAACCTATTCACCAATGTATTTTTGACTACAAACATAGGTGCCGTTTTTGCAATACCTCTACAGATTTACTCAGCCCCAACCAAGGTATTGTTTACAACACTATGTGTTATAATTTTCATAATAATTACTGTTTATTAACTTACAGTGCTTGGGTTTTATTGGCAGAGTTAAGCTTAGAGTTCTTGAAGACTATCTAAGAAATTTGAAGGATAGTACCAGGCCAATCTTATATGGTCAGTTGTTTAGATATGGAACTCTTTATTTGGAAAGAGTTTCTATTTTTCATAAAGTAATTTGAGTTTCTTGAATAAAATAATACAAATAGATTAATCTCATTTTCATTTGTTTCCAAAATTTGAAGAGCAAGGAATATATGCTTGCTATAGAAAACGCAGTTGAGCTTTTGGTGCATACTAGCAGTGAATTCAAGTAAACTAGATGGTCAAATGCTTTAGTTAGGCCTCTGGTAAGTGACTCTCAGTTGCTTGTAATCCTTGCATTTCTTTAGTGGGCCAAATCTAAAGCCTGAAAGGGTTATCAATTAAAATGCTTTCTAAAATCTGGGTAAGCCATATTTAATTTAGATCTTATCTTAAACATGTCTCATTTTTTTCTTAATGTTTATTTATTTTCATTTGGTTACTGTTATTGCTTCTTTTTAATCCAAGCTCTTCTGTATAACACTGGGTTCTAATTTTTCACTATGAGACATTCATGCAACCATCTTTATGATTTTTCTCACTAGCTTTGGTGTTTCATAGATAGAAATGCCTCATGCTTAGCTATGGGCTTAAAGGTAGGACCTCTAAAATTAAACTACACAAGATGCAAGGTTAATTCCATTCATCTGTATTTCGAGCAGGGGAGATTTCTTAGAAATCTCCTTTTTCCGATCAAGAGTTGCATTTTAAGAAGAGCTGCTTGTGGGAGGGAGGAGGCAGGTTTCACATATATGTGGAAGTAGGAAGTAGCAAGTCTGTGCTTTCCCAACATGTGGGAAGTGGAACATCAGTTTACATGTCCCAAGTGGTTTAGGAATTACTATAGATTGGTATACTGTTTTTCAGAAGATTAGAGTACAGTTTAAAAAACAAAAAACCTGTCAAGAGTGTCCTGAGATTAACCTCTAAATCAGAAGGCAGCTTTGTGTCTTTGGGGCCCAAGGATCGTCCCTATGGGCATTGAGGATTGTGCAAAATCCCCTGCCGTGATCCTGTCTGTGAGAGACAGTTCAGAGCACTCATTCAAGGAGAAGGGAAGCTAAGAATTCACTTTCTCGTTGTTTGGCTTCTGGTTAAAGAGAAATTCACTGAGGTGGAGGCCATTGTCTGCTTCGCATTTGAGTGCATTAGGATTTTTATGTTTAGTGTTGTGTTTTAAGTTATTCATATATTACTTTTCAATCTAGGAAGGGAGTCTGGGTTTTGAAGTGATAGCACATTGTGGCATGCATTATTTCATGGGAAAATCAAAAACAGGTAAGTATTTTGCCCTTAGGCTTTCTATAGAACTCTAGTTTGGTGTTGGGTGGGAAGTAGTGAGGAAAAATAGCATTTGTAGATGGAATAATTAATACTGTAAACATAATTGTGTCATATTTTATTCTTAAAGAGCATGATCATTCACAGAATGACTTGAAATTGTTAAGAATCCTCCAAAAACACCCAAGGTACTTGTGTTAATAATGTCCCCTTGAACTTTTTGTAAGGGATTTTTTTTCCAAACACATTATTTGATGGTCACAGCAGCCTTGTGTCCAGGAATAATTGGAAGGTTCTAGTTCTTTTATAAAAGGGCTGACTACAAGTTAATAAAAATAACCCGGAATTGCATTTGAAGACTTTAGTTATAGGAACATAAACATCTTACAGGGGATGCTAGTTGTGGTGTGAGATTGAAATATATGGTGTTGATATAGAAGCTCTTTCTAGTCCTTCTCCTGCCTTCTGATTTATTAAGATATTTAATGTAAGGAGACTGTTTACAGTACAGTACAAGATGTCTTTGGGGAGATTCCCACTTTCTCATCCTGGTACGCTCTTTAGCACAGATCAGACAGAATGGATAAGTAGAGAGGGTGAGGTGAATGGGAGGCCAGTTTGTAAATATAAACATGCCCCTTTCCAGGCCCAGCCCCTGGTCTGTGCCCTTCTTTAGGAGGACTGCTGTTCGTCTATCAGCACTGATCCTAGTCGCTGAAAGACTTGGATGATGACGAGCTCTGTTTACAGGGAAGCAGTTTGGCCTGTTAGCTTGAAAGCTGTTAAAAATGATCCAAGAATAATTTTAACTTGTTTCAGGCTGTATTCATGAGCCATGTGTCTTTTATGTTATTACCTTTACATAATTCGGTTTAGTTTTGTTTTATACATGTTTGTTTGATTTGATATGTCATTTGCCATTGGGTTAGAGGGACTCCTAGTAAAGTACAGTCAGAGGAAAGTGGGGGGGGATGTTGATTTGCTTGGCAGTCCTCTCAGTTTGAGAAGTTTGACAGCCTGTGGCTTTCTTTCCTAACTGAATTGCATTTTCTGTACGTCTAAATATTACATCTGGTCTAACTTGTAGAAAATCCTAATTGGGAAGGGAGTCTTTCTCTGGATCGGTCTACCTGGGACGTGGATTCAGAACTTGCCAATAAATTGTATGAAAGATGGAAGAAATTTAAAACTGGTGACGGCTGCAAGTATGTCTTTTGTGTTCACCTTTGCTTGTCTCTTTTCTTCAGCACCGGGTCAGAGAGGGGGAACACTACTACGTAGTACTTTATTGAATTTGCATGACTGAGTTTTTAATAATTAATATTTTTCTTGGGCCTTTTATTGTGACAAATTGCCATCCACAGAAACGTTGAATATAGTACAATGAATACTCAACTATTCCTCATAAATCCGGGATCCATTCAAGGATCATGCATTGCATTTGGTTATCATGTTTTCTTAATTTTCTTTAGACGTGTATCCTCTACCCCGCCTTTCTTCATATTTCATAATGCTGACAGTTTAGAGAGTCTTAGCCAGTTGTCTTATAGAACCTTCAGCGCTGTGGGTTTCAAGTTTACATTCGCTTTAAACATTTTTGGGAAGAGTGCTGACTACTTGGTTGGTATTATGTCCTTACCATTGCATCACCTCGGAAGGGACATATATGTCAATTTGTCCCATTGTTGGTTTTGCTAAGTTGAATCATTTGACTCTTCCCATTGTATGTGTGACAGATCTCTCTCTGTTATAGATGGATTTTTCCTTTAATAAGTAATTAATAAATAATATGTGCCATGATAATTTGAGATCATATAAATTTCCTGTTCCCTAAGAGCATGTCACCCCATGATCTTAGCATCCATTGATAATTCTTGCCTGGATTGGTTAGTTGTTAGATGATGGCTGCAAAAATGGTGATGTTTCTAATTATTTTGTTTATTCTACATTCTTTTTGCGCATCCCTGTGAATTCTTTGTTCATTACCACCACTTACCACCATTATTATTTTTGATGCTAAATTGCCCCAGATTTGACTGATGAGAGCCCCTTCAGGCTAGCTTGTTGGTAGCCTCAAATGTTCTTACCATTCATTCTTTGAACAGTTCCTTGCTTTCTAGTAAGACAGGAGGTTTCAGGATCATCTTGTACTTTCTCTTCCCCAGACTCAGAATAAGCCATATTTTTCCCCAAGACCCCTTGTTCCATTTAGTGGGATTGATATTTAGTGATTTCATTTTTTTTAATGTCAAAATGATTTTTCAAAGTAATTTTTCTTTATGAATTACACAGGAGGACTGTTTTAGGAATGACGCGGTTTGGTCGCTTGAAGAAATCCAAGGAGTCGGAATCCTTTGTTTTCTTTCTGCCTCGTTTGATTGCAGAGCCCGGACTGGTGTTGAACTTCAGTGCAACCGCCCTGAGGAGCAGCGTGGTGAGGGTTGCGTGTCTCCTTGTCAGCAATGCCCCAGCTCTCGGGTTCTTGAGTTACCAGAGTCTTTCCACCTTCAGAATACTGTTTCAGAACCAAACATAATTTAAGTTCATTTTTAAGTAACACACATAGGCTGTTTAGTGCATTTAGTAGGGAGGTGTCAGAAGAACACAATGAGTAAAACTCAAAATGCATGAAACGAATACATTTTCTGAAGCTTGTTTTCGATTCAAAATCTATCTGCCAGGAAAGTGTTCAGCTATGAACAACAGGGCAGGTCTTTTTTTTTAAGACTTTATTTTTATTTTTACATAAGATGTTATTTATTTGTCAGAGAGAGAGAGCACAAGCAGGAGGAGCGGCAGGCAGAGGGAGGGGGAGAAGCAGCTTCCCCGCCGAGCAAGGAGCCTGATGAAGGACTTGATCCCAGGACCCTGGGACCATGACCTGAGCCGAAGGCATATGTTTAACTAACTGAGCCACCCAGGCGTCCCTTTTTTTTTTTTTTAAGTAATTTCTATACTCAACGTGGGGCTCGAACTTAAAACCCCGAGATCAAGAGTCACAATGCTCTATGCTGAGAAAACCTTGAGTGACACAGGCTTACGTAGGAGGTAGCTTATTTCATGTGACAAGCTCAAAGGAGAGAAGTCCAAAGTGGTTGTAGCAGCAGTGAGATGCCATCGGGAGCCCAGGCTCTGTCTGCCTGCTACTCTCTGTCCTTAGTGTGCCTACTTCCTCCCTGTGTGTGCTTCCCTCGAGGAGCTCGGGAGGCCTGGAGGAAGGCACAGGCAGTGAAGGGACACCAGCAGGCTTCCATGTGTGTCTCCAGTCTCACTGCCAAAGAGCTGCCTGCATCACGTGTGGTCTGGGTGATAATTTACCCTTCGTGAGGCGCTCACTGGGTTTCTTAGGGGGGGCATCTGAAGACTCTCCAAAAGATGTTCATTTTGAAATGATTTCAACTTAAAAGTTTCAAGAATAGTACCAAGAACTCCCAATCATGCTTCACAGAGAGTCACAGTTTTCCACGTTTGCCACATTTGCTTTATCATTGCTTCTCTCTCTTTCTCTGCGTGCGTGCACACACACCACACATTTTTATGGGCCATTTGAGAGTGTCAGACGCTATGCCCCTCTTGTCTCTACTTCAGTGTGATTTCCCTAAGGACAGGAGCGTCTTCCCACATGCTAGAGTATAATTATCAGAATCGGAAAATGTGACAGTAATCAGCATAATGTTACCTGGTCTGCAGTCTATATTCAGATTTTTCCAGTTACCCTACTCACATACTTTATGGTAGGCTTCCCCCCCCCCCCCCCCCCCCGCCCCAGTTCAGGATCCAGTTCAGGATCTTGAATTGCATGATTGCGTCTTTTTTTGTCACCTGTAGTCTTCCTGAGCCTTTCCTAGCAGAGACATGGTTGAAGAAGGCAGGCTCTTTATTTTCTAGAATGCCCCTCGATTTTTTTTTTTTTTTTTTTGATTTTATTTATTTGACAGAGACAGCGAGAGAGGGAACACAAGCAGGGGGAGTGCGAGAGGGAGAAGCAGGCTTCCTGCGGAGCAGGGAGCCCGATGCGGGGCTCGATCCTAGGACCCTGGGATCATGACCTGAGCCAAAGGCAGACACTTAACGTCTGGGCCACCCAGGCGCCCCTAGAATGCCCCTCGATTTGATTTGCACGATGGTTCCTCATGATTAGATTCAAGTTATGAATTTTTTGCAGGATTATTTCAGGGGGCGACGCCGTGTCCTTCTCCGGGTTTTGATTTGCCTTTCCCCGTATCTAGGTGAAGTACTTTGTGGTGAAGAACCCTTCCTCTTGGCCAGTCTCCATGCAGCTCCTGCCTCTCTCCTTGTACCCCAAGCCTGAGTCTGCAGTGCGCCTGCTGCATAAATGGTAAAGCGCCCAGTTGAGGACTTTCTGACAGGGTTTGGGAACTATTGTTACGACTCAGAATTATTCTAAGTCCTTCACATTTTTCACCCGGAACCTGTATGCGGGTGTACACAGTATTAACCCCGGTATCTGGACACCCAGCTCCTTGGGGGATATACCTCGATGGAAATTGCCACTTCCCTTTGCTGTGTGGCATCTTTAGTGTTACCATGTCAAGGCTACTTCCTGGCAGAATATTATTTTCTTTGGCCAGGGAATCTCTTGGACTGTGATTTTCCCGCATATACTCTAAAATTTAGAAACTAAATCGCAGTGATCTCTGGGCGACACAAGAAAGTGAGTTTAGCGTTTTATACGTTTTAACTGAGTGTTAGAAAAGATGATCATTTTAGTTTGTGTCTAAAAGATGTTAGATGTTCATGTTACATCTTATTTTTACAAAGCAATCGCAGTTTCACTTAGAATGTTTCCTTCCTTGGCTTCGTAGAACCTACTCTGATCCCAGGGTTTCTCAGCTTCAGTGCTACTGATATTTTGGACAAGATGATTTTATGTTTGGGGGAGGAGGGGCTGTTCTGCGTTTTGGAGGATGTTTAGCAGCATCCCAGGCTTCTACTCAAGAGGTGCCAGTAGGATCTCCCCAAAAATGTCTCCGGGTATTGCCAGATGTCCACTGGGAGATAAAATTGTCCTTGGTTGAGGGTCACTTCCTGTCAGGTTCCATATGGACCATTTGGAGGAAAAAAAAATGCTTCATATTTAGAACTTTTTTTAAAGATTTTATTTATTTATTTGACAGAGAGAGACACAGTGAGAGAGGGAACACAAGCAGGGGGAGTGGGAGAGGGAGAAGCAGGCTTCCTGCTGAGCAGGGAGCCTGATGTGGGGCTTGATCCCAGGCCGAAGGCAGATGCTTAACGACTGAGCCACCCAGGCGCCCCCATATTTAGAACTTTTGTTACTATATGCTTCTTTACATTATGTGCTACCATAGTCATTCATTGAACAATATTTATTGAGCACTTAACAATATGCTAGGGAGAGTGCAGGGGCCTGGGACATGGTAGTGACAGGATGGGGTGAATTTTGTATGCAAATACATGTACTTACATAATAGGTGTATGTGCACACATATTAGTCTCTCTTTATTGGCAATCTGAATGTTATTTCAAACATTTTTTTCTCTTTATAGGTTTGGCACCGATATGCAGATGATTAATTTCACAACTGGTGAATTCCAGCTCACCCAAGCTTGCCCTTACCGGGTAGGATGTCCTTTTTAAATAGAAAGAGAATGCTAACAAACTATACACATAGCATATGGGCTCTAGTGATTTATGTTTTGAGTGTCTTTTCATAATATACGTGGCTTTCTTATTTTTATATTCTAGACCTTAAGCACACATAGCAGATTTTTCCAATTAACGAATGCAGCAGGAGCTGTATGGTTCATGTTAGCCTGTAAATCATTTTAATTTGATAGTTTGGATTCATGTGAGTGAAGAAATAACAATTGAATCAGGGCTATGTAGAAAACCATAAAACTTGAGACCCCAGAATTTACAATTCTCTTTTAGATTCCCCATCCAGTTTTTTTTTAATGGCTGCATAAGGTAAAAATACACTTAAAAAAAAAAATCTTCTCCTACCAAATTGGCTTCATGTTTTGAGCAAGTTACCCAGCTTCTGTGATGTTCGCCTCATCTGTAAAAAAGGATTTCTCTGAAATTCTTAAGCCTCGGGGCACTCATGAGGTCTTGCACAAATACTTAGGGAGGAGGAGTAAACATGTCATGTGGTGAGGATGTTGTCTGGGCACTTGGTGGCCTTGTTTCTTAGTTTCCACTCAGTAGTTCTGTGGTTCTTTGTACGGATCCGAGTATTTTCCTTACAAGTATCCTATGTGTGAGATCAAGTCAGACATGGAGCATCTGTTAAATGATGCAAGCACACATAGGCACACAACTATATTTCTAATACATACTTAAATGCCTTGGGTATTTTCTTCTTTCTCTGCACTTACCCTCTGAAGATACACTGTTGGCTCTAGGTGAACTTGAATAGCAGAAAGAGGGAAACCAGATAACCTCCAACTAAGAGTAAAAACTCATCAAAGCAAGTTTTTAAGTGGATTTAACAGAGACAATAGGAAACACATCACAGCAAGCGTTCCTTTGTCTTTGTAAGCGGTCTAGGCGGCTGCGTGGTCTTGTTTTTGTTAGTGAGCCTGCCATACTCATTCCCTCTCATTCTCCTTTCCACGGAGCAGCCTCCCAGGGCTGTTGGGAGGTAAATTAGTCCAAAATACTGAGAGAGCTTTTGCCTCCATGGTTGAACCATATATAATTTGGAATTCCAGAAATAATGCCAAATTCCTTTTACATATAAATGTTCTGTTCAAATTTGAACAAATGGTGCAACTCACTTGGAAAAAGTTTTTCATCTGTGATCGAAGGTTTTCCTCAAAGATATTACACCTTTTGCCATCAAGGACACTATTACCATCAAGAATGGTATCAGTGCCTTTGAGACACTTAAAAATTTATCTCAAAATTCTTATTAGAGCTCTGTCGTGTAAAGAATAGCACACTTTTTTTTTGATGTTGGTGTGCTTTTAGAAACGTAATTCCTTTGGTGAAGAGCAGGGGGGATTGGACAGTCAGGTTTCTGAACCCAGGCTCATAACATGGGCTTGCTGCGTGACCCTGAGCAGATTCCTTAACCTCTCTATAGCCTCCTCTCTCTCACAGTAATGTTGGAAGATTCAGTAAGGTTTATGGAATGCTCAGCATCTTATAGACCTTATTATATTCCCATGTGTGGCATATAAGAACTATTTAATAAAGGGTGTTTTTATTATTAGAGTTTTAATACTAAAAATCAGCTTTTTCTTCAATATTTATATTAGATACATGTAAAGCAGGGTTTCTCCCCTCATGAAGTTTATAATTCTAATGAACATGAAACAAGTACCGTCCCTATTTCTTCTTTCAGATAGCATGGGGACATGCCAGCAACAGTTGCAGAATAAAACAAATTTAAAAATGAAGAACGCAGAAAAGAGAATTATTACCATGAAGATTATATGATTATAGCACTAAGAAATTAATAAATTGTTTTTAGTGAGAAGGATCTGGAAAAAGCAGTGGAAAGAGGAAAAATGATGAGGACCTCAATCTTGAATACTAAATGTAGAACACAAGATTTAGTCAGAGTTAGAAATCTTGGGGAAAGTCAAGGGGGACATGAATAGAGCTCTTTCTCGTGAGTGCAGAGACTAAATGTAATAAAGATGGTTTCTGTATAAACCGAAGCTCAATATGAAAGAGAAATTTAGGGTTGTCCAGCAGTGGTGGGGTGTTTGGTCAGCTCCCCATAGCATTCAAGCAGAGGCTGTTTGTTCTGTTTTCTGAGTGATGTTTTCTAGTCAGAGCATCTTGGCAGAGAAGGCTGCTTCTGGCCGCAAGTCCCCTCCAAGCCAGGAAGCAAATCCCCTTGCCAGCCTCCATGGCAGGTTGTCCCGCAGCCTCTGCCTACACTTCTCAGCTGTGGTTCGGGAGCTGTTGGTTGGTGTGAGCTCTCAGGGTAAACAGGTTCAGCAGGTTGATGAGGGTAGTCACATCTGGACATTAAAAGAAGAGCAATCATGGTTATACTCTAAAATGCAGGTAATGAAGACAGAAGCTTGCTTTACAGGATTCCATTTAATTGCATTTATTAAATTTGCAGGGCATGGATTCTGAGGAGTCCAGGTTTGGCATCCTCCACTTACATTTGCAGCCTCTGGAGGTGAAAAGGGTCGGTGTGGTTTTCACGCCAGCTGACTACGGGAAGGTTACGTCACTCATACTAATCCGGTAGGTGTGTCCCCGTCACGGAGCCTGTTTGTTTCCCTCTGACTCATCCATCCAAGACTCTTTCTCTTAAGGATACGTACTCTCTTTAGCCAAGAGCTGACATTGACCTCTCAGTCAGGCCGGTAGGGATGAGGCCGTGTTGCATGCATGGCAGGCAGAGAAAGGCTACCTGAGGCTCCATGCTTACACCCCCGGGGCCTCTGGCCTTGAAAGGTAGGGACCGTGTGTTTGTCCTTCTCTCCAACAGCCACAGTGTATTTTGCTCAGCATCCCATCTGTTGCTGTCTCCAAGGGCAGAACACACACACACACACACACACACACACGTACTTCTCTTACCTTAGCTTAGAGAAGTAATTGAAACACTGCTGTGTACGTTTTCATTCTGCAGTGTTTGGATTTACTCCACTCTTATAGCTGCCTTGCTTCTGGAATTCTCTGTAGCCCCAGAGGACAATGGACTAAGGATTATTGAGCCCATTGGCTTTTTAAAATTTCTTTTTCTTTCTTTTAAATGACAGTGGTTGCTAACTGATTTAAGCACCCAATGTTTTTCATTATTAAATCTTTTTCATCTTTAGGTAGTCTTTATTGAGAGTCTTCTTTCAAAAATTTACAGTAAATACAGATGTTTATTGAAGCTCTCTGTATTGGTGAGAAGTCTAATTTTTAATAAATGACATTTTAGTTTCTTTTTAAAGCTTTTCTAATATCAGATCAGCTGACAAAGACTTTCTTACTCTGGACTTCCTTTAATACAGCACATGAGTTTGTTCTTCTACAAGTGAATGCCCTGAAAAAGGAAAATGTACTAAAGTTTTTTTAAAAGAGTGTGTTCTATTAAGCGTTTTAACTAAGACTTCTCATGCCCTGCAATGTCTTTCATCTTAAACCCATTCTTGATTGAAGACCCAAGGTCCTGGGAAGTGCAGAGATGAAGTTTACCTCATCCCAGGTTAAACTCTCCTGGCTTCGAAAAGTCTAAATTTTTTATAGTACTTAATTTATTTTTGATTTTCTGTATTGATAGTATTTTTCTGTAGACCACAACATAACATAACTTAAAGGTTTTTAAATGGTTAAAGATTCTTAATCCTTTAGATAAAGATATAAAGATACTGGTGTTTTTTGCATAATTAGGCATGAATTCCTTCTCCGCTTCTACAGTATTTGCATTAATGAGGACTGGCTTTCACTCTAGTCTGCATGATTTAAACTTCTGTCCATTTTACTTTTTATGGCCTAGCAATCATGGTTTCAGTTACTGAAAAGGCAAAAGCTAGTCTGAATTTGTGTTTGATGACTCAGAACTTTAGGTTATTTGTGGAATGACATTATAAATCTTTGGTTCAATAGAAATAATAGGATTCTATTTCTGGAATTATCCCTAAGGCAGAATTTCCTACAGTCATGATTACTATGAGAACTCCTTAATTCACCCTGTAAGCAATTTTTGTCAATTAGCCTAAATTTGTTAATATTTCTCATTATTAAATCTTTTTCATCTTTAGGTAGTCTTTATTGAGACTTTATATTTTCAGTTTGTTTTTTTTTGTTTGTTTGTTTTTTTCCTCTTGGAGGTCTGATCACCACCCTGGTGGCTGGTTCTTAGAAAAACATGGCTTTGCATTCTCAGGCCAAGGCAGGAGAGTGATGAGGAGCATTCCCTCGTTCTTACTGTAGTCAGCCTCAGCCTGCCTGGGCTCTTCTGAGCCCATGGGCAGCTTCCGTTGCCCATGGACACCCTCTAATTCCATGAGATGGCCGGAGGTGCCATGGTATTTAAATTGATTTTCTCTTTCACATCGTTACACTGTTCTTGCCAACTAGGAATGTTGAAGTTCAGGTGCACTGTGTCTTTTGACTCTGTTGTAATGCCTTTGTGTTTGTATGGGTTGCCCCACTAGGAATAACTTGACGGTTATTGACATGATTGCTGTGGAAGGGTTTGGAGCCAGAGAGTTACTGAAAGTGGGCGGAAGGCTTCCTGGCGCAGGAGGTTCACTCCGATTCAAGGTGCCCGAGTCCACGCTGATGGACTGCCGACGACGTGAGTTCACATGCCTGGCCCTTGGACGGCGAAGGCTTGGTGCGAAAGTCAAGGGCAAAAGGATTCCATAAGAAGATTTTTAAAATTGACAGTGAATTCATGGCATTGATGCAAATAATTAAATCAGGCAAACATCTGAACATATATGATAGGCTAGTACTGCTTAGAAAAATAGCCTTAGATATTTAACCAAACTTAAATGATACCTATATAAAAAGTATAATTGCTAAATTATCAGTATAGTGATGGATATTTAAGGTAAATAGTATGAAGATGTCAATTTGGTTATCAGCTACATCTTCATAAAAAAATCACACCAAAATGATGAATGGCGAGAAGAGTAAAGGTCTGCTAACCGGTAGAACTTTATGCAGTAATGGAAATGCTCTATATCTGTGTCACCGAGGACAGCAGACACTAACCACATGTGGTTAATGAGCACTTAAAAATACAGCTGATGTGAGTTTTTAGATTTACTTAATTTTAATTTTAGCCATGTATGTCTAACGGCTACTGCATTAGACATTGCAGATTTTAGAAACTTACCTAAATGTTGCATTAGAAATTTCCAAATTGTGCATGTATTTAACTCAAATGCTTCTGAATTATTTATATTAGTTTCAAGAACTTCCTCAGGAACTAAGACAAAAATCAAACAATAGATGTAAAATGTTTTTGGTAAATTCCTTGTTTTCCTATTAATATTTTGTATTTCTGGAATACACTGAAAGCATTTTAGTGTAACACCGTGCTTCCTATGGAGAAAGCTAGTTGGTGAAAGTATTGGATAGTTTGTAGCACTATCTAATGCTTGATTGGAATTTCTTTTTCAAGAAAACTATGCTAATTGAGCATTGAGTTTGAAAAGATTTACTGACCATTTGCGTTCAAAATTCATCAGAGTATTCACTTTTCCATTCATTCATTCATTCAGTAACTTAGAGTTGACCTTGACAGATGAAATTAGGGAAAATTATAAAAACTACAGAACTACATAAAATTTTGGTCTTTATATGGAAAAGATTGTGGGTTATAAATTTATAGGAATAATTTAAAATTGTGGTAATTCTTTTTTAAACTCCCCATATAAAATGGGCTCTCGTTCTTTTGCAGAGACTTAGTGACTTACTTCCTCTGAATGTAGTGGGTGTTTGAACTGTGTTTCTAGAAGCACAGACTCTTGCTCTTAACTGGTCCCTGTTCACTGTGAGGATCCCAGGAGCAAAGTGTGCATGGTGTCTAGGGGTATCCAAAGTACTTGGCTTCTGAGAAGAATAAACTTCTAACCTTAACTTTTAATAAGTAAAAGAACAAAGAAGAGATTCTGATTACTTTTGGTACCTAGGAAGGTCATATAACTTAAGAAAAATCTTGACTAATTAAATGTTTTTATTGTATTCTGGTAGTATAAGAAAATCTATGACTGTTCTAGAAATTAGATAGAAGTTGTACTTTGGGCTTATATTGCATTTTTTTTCACATTTTAATAATATAGGTCATGGTTTATTGATTCAGTAAATGTTGATTCAATAAATGACTGAATAAATTTTGTAGTTCATACATACTAAATATCACTTTTTATCCTCACTTAGAACTGAAAGACAGCAAGCAAATTTTATCTATTACAAAGAACTTTAAAGTTGAGAATATTGGACCACTTCCTATAACTGTGACATCTTTGAAAATTAATGGGTATAATTGCCAAGGTTATGGATTCGAAGTGCTAGATTGTCATCAATTTTCCCTGGCCCCAAACACATCCCGGGATATCAGCATCGTGTAAGCATTGGGTTTTAACCTCCCTTAGGTTTTGTGGTGCATTTAATAATGTGGGGAAGAAAACCTTTTTTGCATTGGTAAGACATGTTAAGTTGTTTTTATATAAACATATATTGTAAGTAAGAAATATGACTGCTATCGTGATTATTTTGTTTTGTGCCTAAAATGAAAACAATTCATGTTTTGTTATCAGGTTTACTCCAGACTTTACCTCTTCCTGGGTCATTCGAGAGCTGACTCTTGTAACTGCAGCAGACCTGGAGTTTCACTTCACTCTCAATGTGACCCTCCCCCATCACCTGTTGCCTTTGTGTGCAGACGTGGTTCCAGGACCCAGCTGGGAGGAGTCGTTTTGGAGGCTTACAGTCTTCTTTGTCAGGTATGCTACCACCTTCAGGAGAGTTGCATGAAAATGTATTTTGCCTGGGTGTAAAAAGCATATGAATCGCCAAAAAGCATATTCAAAGTGTATGAATTGAGTGGAATTTACATTGCTTTGTGAACCTCAACATATATGAAATAGACAAAGTAGTAACTGGTGAACTTTAAGATAATAGTAAACTTACTGTAGGAGATTCATGGGACCTAGAAGTATGAGATCCTTGTGCTTCTTACGCTTCTGTTGGCAGTCACGGTGGAAAATACAGATGTTACTCCTTTTGGCTCGGCGCAGTGGCAGTTTGAGATTGGAAGACTAGAGTGACCCTTTTGAAGTGATTTTGTCATGAAAGTGCCTTTGAAAGTGGAATTGGAATGTCAAACTTATAAATGTGCACAGTTTTAGAAACTTGGAGCTTTTTAAATCTTTAAGTCACATCAGAAATGATGATGTGATACATTTTATGGAATTTCAATGCTATATCTTTAGACATTTTGCATCAACCAACCACTGCTCTTCTGTAAGAGAGCTGGTCTTTTTAATGCCGGTCAGAACCATGCAGTAATGAACCTCGTTGCTTTCTTCCTCAGTTTGTCCCTGTTGGGTGTGATTTTAATAGCCTTCCAACAAGCACAGTACATTCTTATGGAATTCATGAAAACAAGACAGAGGCAAAGTGCTAGCTCATCTTCACAGCAAAACAATAATCCGATGGATGTAATTAGCTCCCATTCTCACAAGTAAGAATTCTTGTAGAGTGTGTGTGTATGTGTGTTGGAGAGGGGGGAGGAGCTCTCACCTTTGATATTACTCAGTTCTGATTTTAAGGTAATATAAATATTACTCTGCTTCCAGATTTGTCTTCCTAAAATTTTCTTGAAGTCATTGTCTGGCAGCTGTAACAGTTTTTACAATAAGATAGACCTCCTATAAGGACTTAGTTTGTTAAACTCACGGGCCTTTGGAAGAAGGAGGGAGAGAGAGTACTCCTTAATACACACAGTATTGAGATTGCTACTTCTCTCTCATGGGTTTAGAAACAGAGGGGTAGGGTTTGATTCCATTTGGCTTTCTGTTAAATGTTTTTCTTCTTCAATTCAGAAGCAATTGTAAGAACTTCCTCGATACCTATGGCCCCTCCGATAAAGGCAGAGGGAAAAGCTGCCTTCCAGTAAACACTCCACAAAGCAGGATACAGAACACCCCAAAGAGGAGCCCAGCTACCTACGGTCATTCTCAGAAGAAGCATAAGTGCTCAGTGTATTACAGCAAACACAAAACCAGCCCATCTGTCACCAGCAGTGCTAACACTACTGCTGAGGAGAAACAGACTCCGGCCCCGAGCAGCTCCCTGTCTGCTCCTAAAGAGGACGTGTGCACTGATGTTATGGGCGAGAACTGGGTCAACCTCAGATACGCAAACGGCATCAATGTTGACCTGCAAAAGAATTTAACCCTTTCCAAAAACTTACTGAATAAAGAAGAAAACACACTGAAAAACACAATTATTGTCAATAATACTTCTTCAGAATGTCATATGAAGGAGGGAATACAGACATGTATGTTTCCTAAGGAAACGGACATTAAAATTTCAGAAAACATAGCTGAGCTCAAGGAACGAGAGCTCTGTCCCCTGAAGACCTCTAAGAAACTACCTGAAAATCACTTGCCAAGAAATTCACCTCAGTACCAGTCAGACTTGCCAGAGATTTCCAGGAAAAATAATGGTAATCTTTTCATCCTCCTGGATGATTCTTTTCTCTGGTTTGTCTTCGGTCTGTTTTTCGCAGAACTTGTTCTCACCTGTGATTTTAGTTTTAATCACGGATGCTGCACAAAGTTTTAGCCAATGTATGAATGTTGAAATACAGTTTGTAAAATGAGAAGTTTAGGACAAGGCACCACGTTTTTAGAATGTCATGAGTAAAGAAGTTTACTTTTTAGTACATATGTTTAGAGGGATGTGAATGTCCTTTTTTACTGTTGGGAGGCTATGGACACCGTTTTTAATTGCTTTCTATCGTGGATTTTCAGACTCTTTGTGAAAATTAATCAGCCCGTAAAATATTTCTGACCAAACAAAACTTACCAGCTTTCTGTATTTAACAGCTACTACCATCTCACATTCCCTGGCCCTGGTGCTTCTCTAATTGTGTCCCTTGGTTAAAAGAAGACAGATGTTCTCTCACAACAAATACAGTTAGTGAAGGCATAAGCAGGACGAGACTCAGAAAACCACCTACATGTAAAATCACCATTAAGCTGTAACTGACCCCTTTGGCCTTTGGCATAAGAAAGAGTGCTTATTTTTTTTTTGACCATTCTGACCATTTGAATACGCACATTTCTGCACCTGTTAAAAGTCAGATTTTGGGGGCGCCTGGGTAGCTCAGTCATTTAAGCGTCCGAGTCTTGATTTCGGCTCAAGTCATGATCTCAGGGTCATGGGATCGAGCCCTATGTTGGGCTCCGCTTTCAGTGGGAGTCTGCTTGGGATTCTCTCTCTCCCTGTCCCTTTGCCCCCCCACCCCCAAATAAATAAATATTTTTTTAAAAGTCAGATTTTTGACACTTTTTAATCTGGAAAAGTCCATTACCTTTGATCTTAATTGAAACACCTAAGTATAAATAATTTAATATTTTATACTCCCCGTTATTGGAGAGAAAGTACAGAAGTGTTATGGATAGGCCAATTCTGATGAGCTTTAGGCATTTAGTTAAAAACCCAAACTGAATTTTAAGTGTTGCATCAAAGGACCTGTCTCATTGAAAAGAAAGCTGGGCTGCCCTGAGTGGAACGTGGTTTAGGCAGCTGCACATGTATTCCTGGTGCATCTTGTTCCAGCCAGTTTGCACCATTTCCCTGGCCTCAGCATGTGTGTTTGGGGCGGACTCCTGTCTGCAGGTCAACACTGTCCCCCGTGTTCTCTCCGCCTGGCGTGTGAGGATGCACTCTGAGTGATGTGTTCAACCAGATCTTCAGATGAAATCCTAGCGTACGTTGTCAGAGCCTGTTTGATGGTGGAGCGGGCGGGGTGCCTCTCGTTCCATTTCTCTAGGGCCCAGGCGACAAAACCTTTGTGAAAGGGTGAAATTAGGGGTGAGTCCTACTGAGATTTTCCTTGTTTTTTGTCATTTGGGCCCGAGCACAGTATTTGACCGAGGCTGCCTTGACACAGACTTAAAATCATAGTTGTTTGGGGTGCTTCTGTGGTCCATTGCATCCCTCAGCTGTCTGCATAAACGCTCCGGATGCAGCACCCGGGGCATGGTGGATAGATGGATGGGGAAGGACCCCCTGCTCCATCGTAGTACACTGAAGTGGTCGAAACGTAGAGGCGCGGACCCGAATTGCGGTGCCACAGTCGGTCAGAGGGCTTGAATTTGTGCTTCAAGACCTTCCTGCCCAACACTTGATGTTTAATGCCCATAGTTGAGCCTAGATGACCATGGAATAACTTCTGCAAGTGTGAGTAAACTTAATATGGGAGTCCGGAAACACAGGATTTGCTTAAATCATCGTAGATGGCGGTTCTGCCTGCAGTCTTCCCCTCCGGTGCAGATTATTAGCTTATTTGTGTTTTAAAGGGAAACACGCATCTTCCAATAAGAAGTCTTTCAAAACTGCTCTTTGGCGGGATCAGTAGCATGTTAAGTGGTATCAGAGTGATTGTTGATCAGATCAAATAAGAATCGATGAAAGAACTTCGTTCAGACCAGCACATTCAAAGGTGCTAATTGACAGTGCTGTATTTCTCTCCAGAATGAATATGTCAGCAGGAGAGTCCTCACGGGGAAAGCCGTTCATTGACATGTATTTTGTTCTGTGTTCCGTTCACAGCACTATTCTGGGAAGATAGCAAAGAGGTTAAAAAACTAAACATATTGCCTGCCATCATTTTACAATTTGAACATTTTAAAGAATTTGCAATGTTAAAGATAAGAAAAGACTGAGTAATCCAGAGGAAGAGAATTGTAGTTTGAAGGCAGGATGTGGAGTTTTGTTTTATTTTGTTTTTTAAGTAATATCAAGGGTCTGGGGTTCTTTTTTCACATTTTAAAGGAAAGCATTGTAATAAACTGGCAGATGGTGAACAGGCATATATAATCGTCAGGGAATCCATAACGTGTGAAGAATGCTCAAGGATGAGAAAACTGTTTATACATGAGAACTTTCCAAGTTTTTGTTTCCAACTTTGAGCTTTAGTTCTTTTTTTATTTTGAAAAGTGTTTTACTTTGTGAAAAACATGTTTCCATCTTAAAATCATTCTAGAATCTGAAGAAAATAGCCTCAGCCTTAGTAGCTGAACTTCACCCAGCTGATGGCGGGGAATCCTAAGTTCCTGGCGTTTTGTTTCCTGTGTCCCCCACCAGAATGGGGACTCTTCCCTTTGCTCAGGGGGAAACCACATCCTAGCTGTTTCTCCTAAACGACACAAATGTTCCGTAGAAACAAATCTAGTGATAAGATTGCCTTTGGAAAAAGGGGAAGGGGACAGGCAGTCTATCTCCTAAGAGTGCCTGAAGTGGTTTTATTAACCTGACAGATGTCCCTGAGGCACCTGAGGAATTGTGCCTTCTCCTGTTCTGAAGCTTTTTTTATTTCTCCTGAGGGTAACATATTGTGTGAGGAAAAAAACATTCCAAGGTGTTTATTAATGGCCCTGGCACTACATGCTCATTTTTGTTGTTGAGAAACACAGACTATTTTCTGAATAACAGAAATGTGTCTCATCCCTTTCCTGTTCTTTCTCCGGCCTTCTTCTGAGAGGCCTGTAGTAAATCATAAATTAAAATTCCCCGTAGAAATGAAGTCTGTTGACAGATGCTTCAGAGCTCTGTTTTCACACACTTGTTTTTTGGCATCCACCTGTCAAACAACAGCTCAGTTCTTCAAACATTTGTTAAAACGTATTGCAGACTCTCTTGATCATCCGACAAGAGTAGAGCTTTATATGTCATGTAAATGATCATTTAAGTATGTCTCTTTTCAAGTATTTATTATTTTCTAATTGTACGATCAAAATTCTAGATCTGTATTATTTCGATCACATAAAGAGTAATGAGCTCTGGAATTAAGGCTAAAGATAAACAGCTGGCCTCAGCACTACAGAAGTGGAAAAGTTAACAGATTATTTTATTGCTTTCTGCTTATAATAATGTGAAGGATAAAAACTTTTAAATTTAATAATACCCTAAGCCTTGGAATTATTAATACATGAAAGATTTCACTGAATTCAATAGATACCTCCAAATTTCTGAAATCCCAGTATTGGAGAAATTCAAAAAAATAGCCTCATTGACTTATAGATACTAATAACTTGAAGATTAGCAGTTGGCTCAAAATAGAACATGATTGGATTTGATACCATTAAAGCTTAAGCAGGATTCTGGTGAGTTCACTTGTTCCTTGTTTTATTCGTGTTTTTATCTTCGTGGCTGAAACACTGACTCTGTGAGATGGGTGTGAGAAAGTTGTGTAACACCGTAAGTAATCACAGTTAATAAGATGACATGGATTGGCTCCATTATTAAATGAAGAATGTACTCACGAAATTTTTAAATTCTTAGATATTGTCATGCTAGAATTTGTCAAAGACTTAATGAAGAACTGCTTATTAGAATTCCTTTTACTACTTCTCCTGATTCCCGGCCCCATCAAAGGTGTTACTAAGAGTTGGTGCTTTACCACTTTTTTGGGGTAGTTCAGTATTGGATATTAAGTTTGGATTCTTCCTGAGAACGTATGATGACTAATACTTTTAGTGCTGTTGTTGGCCTGAAAAAAACTCAAGGAAATCCATTTTCTCATGAATTAAGACTCTAGGAAAGTTAGTGGCACATTTTTGAGGAGAATATATGTGTTCTTTTTCACATGTATGGTTTCCAAAATCCAGAGTGATGTCCTTAGTTATGATTTATTTTTCTGTTTCGGACCCTGTCGCCTTGGTTTTTGGCTCTTTTACCACTTCACCATGGTGGATATTTTCCTCTGTCGGTGTCTTAACACCCGATTTGTGTCATAGAGGAATTAATGCTTCCCAGCATTTTTATAGTTTTGTAATACTTACACGATTTTCCATTAACAAAATAAAAGTATGCTTACTTGTCAGTGTTATTTGCAAAATGTATATATCTTGCTTTGAGTGAGGTCAGCTTCAGAGTTTCAGAATCAGAGGGGATTTGACTGCTCCTTTCATTTTGTGGGCAGAGACCTTCCCTGCCCCAGGTCCCCAAGCAGGGCCAGATTGGAGCCTCTGCTGAAGTCCAGTCTGTCATGCATCTCACCAGAGCCTACAGCCTGCTTTGCTGTGAAATCTTTGCACTGTGGTCATCTAAACTTTCTCAGGTTGCAAAGGTGTGATAAGGGTATTCTCAGTTAAAGAGAAAAGAAGAAGGTGTTGAAATACTTTGTTTCCTGTTAGGACACTGAGGACGGTTATTGTGGGGATGAAGTTGATCTGACTTTATTTTGAAGTAAGGGATAGAAGAAGAAATACACTGATGAATGAAATCACTTGAAAGAAAAGTAGGAGAATCGTGTTTTCAGATGAAGTTTCTTCCAGCACCCACTTTTGCCATATGATTCACCTGCTGCTCATTGTCAGCATGTAGACGCTGGTCACTGGGGGCAGGTGGGCACGGACTGTGGGAGGAGGAGCTGCCCCGAAACAGGTCATGTGTTTTTGGTGGTGACCGTTTCCATGTATACGTCTCCTGGTTTCATCTTTATAACGGTCAGAGGAGGCAGAGAAGGTGGTATTTGCATTTTATAAATAAGAAAACTAAAGAAGCTCAGGCAGCTTGAGATTTACTTTGAAAACTAATTTATAGCTGAGTCATGACTAGAAGGCAAGTCCTTAACCCCCCTCCCTCCCTCCCCCAACTTTTAAAAAAACTGTGGTAAAATAGACATAACATAAAATTTACCATTTTAGTCATAAAGCTCAGTGGCATTAAGTACATTCACACTGTGGTACAGCTGTCACCATCATCTGCTTACAGAACCTTTTCACCATCCCAAAAAGAAACTCTGTAGCCGTTAAACAGTAAGTATCTGTGTTCCCTGCCCCCAGCCAGCCCCCCACCATTCTGTCTCCATCTCTATGAATTAGATGACTCTAGCTCCCTCAAATAAGTAGAATCATTGGATGTTTGTCTTTTGGGGACCGGTTTATTTCACTTAGCATAACGTCTTCTGGGTTATCCATGTTGTGGCATGTCTCAGAATCTCATTGCTTTGTTTCCCGTCTCAGGCATTTTTTTTTTTAAACTTTGAATATGCTTTATTATGCCATAAAGTCCCAGGAAATATAAGAAATATAATTTCTGAATGGAACTAATAATTTCATTTTTGAGTGTCCCGTTGAATAGTATTAAGTGTATTCACGGTATTGTGCACTGATTCGTTCCTCTTTAAGGCTGAGTGGTATTCCATTGTGTATGTACCATGTTTTGTTTTTTCTGTCTATTCGTCCATGGACACTTGGGTTGTTTCTGCCTTTTGGCTGTTATGAATGATGCTGCTATGAATAGTGGGGTACCCCCTCACCTTTTTTCCTTGACCTCTTTTAAATACTGTTTGTAGAACTCTTCATGTAAGTGCATTTTTACTGGTAAAACACTTCCTAGAGCATCATGAATGTCAGGAACAATCCCCAAGTCTAAATCTCATTAATTTAGATGGCTTGGTGTAGGAAAGAGATTTAAGTATGGGAACATGAATGGAAATAATTAGCTAGAGATTCAATCATTTTTATTTATTCAAGGGAATAACCAGCAAGTGCCTGTCAAGAATGAAGTAGACAACTGTGAAACTTTGAAGAAGGTTGACACAAAGTCTTCCTCAGAAAAGAAGATTCACAAAGCATCTAAAGAAGACATTTGTTTTGAGAAGCAGGATGTACCTTCAGTCGAGGTCTGTATTCCGTTTTCTCTTGACTTTTAGAACAAAACCCATATTTAGGGCTGAGAGTGCAGTTATCTGTCTAGTAACTGTACATGTGTATTTCATACCTTTTAAGGGGGTCCAGTTATCATGCATTTGAATTGGCATTATAAATTGTGTTTGGAAAGTTTTCTTTATCTTCTAATTATATAGGAGGTACTAAAATAATTTATAGTAACATCAGATAGCTTTTATTCTCAAGGGAAGCTTTCTTAACCAAATGGGTTAACTCCTGGCAAAGATGATGGAGTAGAAGCAGATCACCTGTCTCTTCTCTCTGGTTGTTACCCAACACTCAGTTTTGGGCCTGCTCTTGCTGTGTTGGAAGCATAAGCCAAAATCCACAGGAGTGGGATGCCTATCTAGCTCAGGTGAGGGGGCCCTAGTACAACAGATCCCCAGAAGAGAAAGCACTGTTGCACACCATCCTGGCAAGCCCTGCACCTTCCTGCCAGTGTAGGCTAATGAAAAGCATCTGGAGAACAGAACTGAGCCCTGTATCTCGTAGGTGAAAGCAGACAGGTCCAACGTAAAGGTGGGAAAGGTATTCAGGAGAATTTACCTACTTTACATCAGAACAGAGGTATTTGTGTATTAGTATAAGCCCAGTATGAAAAAAAAATAGCATTCTAACTATGCTGATACATACCATCTGCTACACACACGCGCGCACACACACACACAGTAAAAGTGAATGAGAGGAGTAGAACATAGAAGACAGGTAAAGATCCTAATCTATTTTTTCCTATCCCATGTACATAGCAAATCAAGAACAAACTTTCGCCATCTACACCTAAGTTCATCTGTATAAGAAACACACAACTTGGCACATATATATATATTTGTGTATTGGCAACTGAATATGTAATGAATGTGTAACAGCAACATTGTGTTTCGCAACTAAATTTTTTTATCCAGTAAAATACATTACATTTAAAAAAAAAAAAAGATCCTAATCTAGAAGAAAACCTATCCAGAGACTGGAAGGAAACTCTGAGAATACTTCACACTATAGTTAATGAACTCAATAAAATAAGAGTTTTTTTTAAAAGGCAAATTAAGATACTAGGATGAGGTTAAAAGAGGTATTATATACCTAAGTAAATAAATGAAGACCCAAATGACATTTCACAGACAGTTGCCAAAAATAGAATTGCTGAAGGGCTTTGAGATAATCACAGTGAGTGTGAGGGAAAAAATTGAAGAGCTGGAAATATTAGATATGGGGCAAAGAAAGAGAAAGCAGTCCAACATAAGAATAATGAGTGTTTAAGTAAATGGCCCAACAAATGGATCTGAAAGGTATTCAGAGATGTAATAGAAGAATATTTCCCTGACACGAGGGGAGAATTGAATTTATAGATGAAAGGGCACACTGTGTATACCAGGAAAAATTGATATGTAATAATGGACATAGGCGCAGCCTGGCTAAATTATTGATCTTGATGCATAAAGAATGGTGCAAAGGCAGGAAGATGGAAAAACACCAACTCAGGGTTGCCTCAGACTTTGTAGAAACATCTAATGCCACGGAACAGTGGAGCCGTATCTTTAAGAGAATAAAAATGTGAACAAGAACATTCCAGACAAGTTGACACTCAGGTACAAAGGAAGCAAGGCAGGCATCCTTAAACACAAGAAAGCTCATCATGAGTCTTTCTTAAAAGATGAAGTTAACAAAATTTAGCCAACCAAGACAGAAGTAAAAATAAAGACCCAGGGCGGAAGTAAAAATAAAGAAGCTGTGTTAATGGTCTGTTGTTGAGATTTCTATCCATTTTATATCCAGAACTAAGACTAAACAGTTGGCAATTATAATTCCAGAACAGATTGCATATATTACAACTTTAATAAAGCAAAAAAGTAACATAAGCTGCAAAAACAGGAGGTGGTATTGAATGGTAGGTGACAATGAGTTTTAATTTTATTTTTCTTGGTGGAGAGTCAATACTATATAAAACTGAACATATCGTTTAACAGGGTGAAAACTTAGGAAAATGTCTTTCATGGTCTTTTGCTTAACTTTAGAGAGATCCTTAAGGAACTAATGTATCATGTGGAGAAGAAACAATTATTTGAAAGTTGGTAGTTCCTTGGGTTCTACTTCAGTTTATGTTAAATTCAAATAAACCCGAACCTTAAATTTTTATTTAAAAATAATACATCGTCGTGTTCACTTCAGCAGCACGTATACTAAAAAAAAATAATACATTGTCCCAGTGTTATAAATTATTCCCATTGTCTGTCTTGCCATCCTAACGTGTCTGTAGGTTCACAGAGAGTTGGTAAAAACAAGATTTGCCAAATAATCAATGGCAGACTGTGGTTATTCTGAGTGGTGGGATTTGGGGGTGATCTTTTTCCTTCTTTATATTTCTGCATTTTTATTAAACTTTATAACAAACATGAATTTTTCATTTAAATAACATGAAAATGATGCAAAATAAATATATCCTAGACATCCCCAACTGGAAATTTGCAGGCTTTTAAGAAGGACACGTTATGTCCCAAGTAGTCAAGTGCCCCAATCCGGATTGTACAGAGTGGAGGGGATTTCAGAGAGTGAAAAGTCAGTTTAGCCTGCAGCGGGCACGGAAAGCTCCTAGAGGAGGTAGAAACGCGGACAGGCAGAGAAGAGAAGGTGGGCAGCGGCCCCACTGAACCCCACGGCATAATCAGGAGCAGTAGGAAATCCTCTTTGGGAAGAGGCTCAGTCAGGAATGTGAAGCAAGAGTGGGAGTCGTTCCAGATGGCGAAAGCCTTGGCTCACCAATTCCAAGTTTGGACTTCTCCACTCAATCTCAGCTGGAAGTGCAGATGGTGAACTAGGTGAGCCCAGCAGTCGGAAGTGATGATGCTTGCAGAGAAGCAGAGCATGGTCACTTACCTGCTAAGGAACTTCAGAGTCATATTCCTAAAAGCACATGTGTCCAAACAGAATGTCTTCTCGGAGGATTTAGCTTGAGGGTGGCCAGTTGGGGAGACCCTGATGCAAAGGATAGGGAGCTAGGGAAGGTTTCTGGACTGGGGGGTGGATGGAGGGAGGGCGGTGGGTAACCAGTGGAAAACAGCCTGGAGGCTGTGATTTTCTTGAAGGTCATAATTGAATCTTTTTCAATTCAGGTTTACAAAGATGGGCAGAATGCCTATTATAGAGATCATAAAGTGCCGTTTAGTAAATGCTTGAATGAATGTGTGAATAATGCATTTTTGGAGGATCAGTGTGAGTGTTTTGGAGGCTGGGTTGGAGCGGGCCAAGAAGGACACCAGCTCTCTTCTCACAAGGAGGCTGTTACTCTACTGGGAGGTGTGACGTAAGGCTGTGTTTGGGGAACGACAGGAAGAGTAAGTAAGAGTTTAGAAGAAAAACTAACAGGATTTCCCCTTCCCTAGTTGTATAAAGGAGAGGAACTATCTTTTCTTACATAACCATTTGCAAAAATAACTCCTAAGTTTTAAGTCTGGCTAACGAGAAGATGGGGGAATTCTGACTTATGCAATGAGTTCATTTTTATGTTTCTCAAAGCAGTGTTGCATATTAAGAGCATGGACTTTGCAGCCAGACTTCTTGGGTTTGAATCCTGGTCGTCATTTATTTGCTCTATAACATTGGGCGAGTTACTTAACATCGCAGTTTCCTTATCTGACAAATGAGGGTACTGAGAGCGTGCCTACATCCTAGGGTTGTGAGGAGCGGCTGAGTTAACATGGTAAGTGCTTGGAGTAGCTCACGTACCAAGAGCTGACAAGGGGTCAGTACGAAGGGAATGACTGTGTGTGATTGTGACCGACAGCGGGAGATACGGAACCAGAGCTTACATGGCAAACTCGGGCCTGGAGCTTGAGATTTGGGAGCTGTGCCTGTGGAGGTTAGAACTGAAAGGCGACCCTGAGTTCTCTGAGGTGCGTGGGCACAGGGAGAAGAGTGGGGCCGCAGTGTGAACCCTGGTGGTGGTGAATCTGCAGGTGGCCGAGGGTGCAGGTATACCAGATGTACAGAAAGCGAGGCCATGAGGCTATGATGGGCCGTGCTTTCAGGAGCAGAAAGAAGTCATTGAATTTGAGGTAGGAGGGAATGGGTGAAGTTAAGAATTGGAACTTGGCAGCCTCTTGCTAGGGGCTTTGGAGACTTCCATGTTGCCCTGCCATGTGATGCAAACCAACGGTGAGATGTGATGACTCAGTGGCTGCAAAGCCTATGTGCTGGGCAGAGCAGGTGGAACTCATGCCAAGTCCGTCCATCCGTCTGAGGGCCATCAGGAGGAGGTGGCCCCAGGAGCCCTGCTGTGTGGTGCTGCCACGAGTGGGCGCCATTCCTGGGCTTCAGACTCCATCCGAGGCCCCCATGCCAGACTCAGCACTCTACCCCTGTGCCCTTCCTTGTGGCAGGTTTCTTAATTTCTTCCTGTTGTTTTCTTCTCTGCGTATCTGCACCATTCCATCTTTGGGGGCATGGGCCTTGTCTTTTCTCCCTCTATCCCGGGAGTGCAGACTTGACTTGTGCACAGTCCCAGGGGTCGAGTAAGCCCCTCCTTTCTTTTCTGGTCCAGGAGCCCATGTAAGAGAGACCTGTGCAGCTAAAGATGGCAGCTAGCTCTGCAGGAAGGCTGCAGCGAGCCAGAGGATCTGGGGGACCGTAGTCCCCATCGTTTTGTTTGTTTGTGTGTTTTGCTGTCTCTGTGACTCACTCCCCGTTTTGCAAAAAGCTCTTCTTTAAAACCCTGTGAGTGTGCTTTCCATTTCATTGTTCGTTTGGAGAAATCATTCTCAATAAACACATTCCCAAGGGCAGTACTCAATGTTTGTTTTTCTTGTACATTCTTAGGACCTAACTTTGCAGCTTAGAAAATTGTATAAATCTGTCTATAGTACATGGAGAACATTCCTCTAGATTTATTGGCAGAGAAGGTTGAAGCCCAGATTTGAGAGCTACAAACTAAATTTTAACCCTAGCCCTGCTGTTTATTTTTTTAAAGCAGATTTTTCTTTCCCTTAGGAAAGGAATTCATGATTATTATAAAAGCATGAAGCGGGGGGGGGGGAAGTCTGTGCAAAATGAACCACTTTGTACATTTTTCTGCATTCTGCTTCTTTATGCAACTTTTTAAAAAACTCAGGACCATCATTATGTATATGTAGCTTTGTTAATAATGTTATAATTCTACATTTTCTCATGTTCAGAACAAGGGGAACTTTGTTTCCAGTGGTTATATTACATTCCATCATTTAACTATGCCCTAATCCTAAACCATTTGCTTGCAGTCGGACATTAAAGTTATTTACAGCTTTATTTTCATAAATAGCACTGTGATGAACTACATTGTTCTTAAGTCTTCCCTGTATACCTGATATATCCTTGTTAGAGATTTCTAGAAGCAGAATTAAAGAGTGTCTTCTGTGTGCCCCAGATTGCTTTCTGGAAAGGTGGTCCTGATTCTCATTCGCTCTGAGGAGATGATGCTGTGGGACAACGCTGACTTCCTCTGCTCCCACCAGCACCGTGCTGTGTTTCTTGCAAAGTCTTGGTCAGCATGATGGGGAAATGACTGTGTTTTGGTTTTCATTTCAATTTGCATCTCTTACCAGGGAAAAGTGAGCACTTTCCTTCATTTCCTTTTTTGTAAAATTCTGAAAAACAAGTAAAAAAATCATCCATCTGAAATCCTACCCCTGAAATTCCTGCCTCCCTCTCTTCCTTCTTTCTTTTCTTTCTTTTTTTTTTTATAAATTCGGAAGTGAATGTCTCACCCAGTTCTGCTTGCACTGCTCAGAGGCAGACTCTGTTAAGGGCACTGCCTCCCCAGGCCTCCGCCTCCCCAGCCCTCTCGTAGTGTCTGCAGGCGCAAACATGCAGTATAAACACACTCGTGTTTTTTAAAACCGGCATGGAAAGAGGAGATACAAGCTGGTCTATAATTTCCCTTTCCTAAAAACATACTTTATTATTAAATATTTTGGATAGAGTCTTCATGGTTTTTTAGCCTTTTATATTTCTTTTGTGAATTTGCCTTTCATGTGCTTTAACCACTTTTCTATTGCATGTGTTTTTCTTATTTTCCGTCAGAACATATGGCATGGTATTGACTCTGCCTATCAAACAGTGTGTCTGGTTTTTTTTCTTAGTCTGCCCTTCTCTCTTATTTTTTATTTGCTGTTACTTCTACACAGCAGCTTAAAGATTGTTTTGTGGAGTCAGTGTGATTTCTCTCCTTTGATTTCTTTGTTGGCTTTTATTAAAGTTTTAGGAAATCTTTTTATTTGCCCAACCTGTAATCAGCAAAATTGTCCCTTCTGTCGGGGACTTCCGAGAACTTCACTAGTTCAAATAATTCAGTCATGTGAGAATAAGACGTCTTCTGTAAAGTGCTTGCTATGTGTCAGGTTATTTGCTCCTCACAGCAGCCTGCTGGGAGACGCAGGAAACTGAGGCAGAGAGAAGCTGAGTAACTTGCTCAAGATCGCACAGCCAGTAAAAAGCCTGGAGTGAGCTTCACTTCAGGCTGTTTGGCCTCAGAGCTGTGTTCTTGCTTGCAACTCTACCTGGACTCTTCCCCTGGTTGGGTCCTCCTCCCTCTCTGTGTGACACCCTCCCCACCAAAAAGAAAAGAGCCGAATTCTCCCTTTATTCTCTCTCATTTCTTGACAGGTCTGTGACTTTGGGTCTCTGATGTCCTCACCCTGTCCCCCCCCCCCCCCCATCTGCTATGTCCAGGGCTGGCCTGTTTTCCCCAAGACTGGGGCCCTTCCTCCTCAATGCCGTACTTCCCAACCCCCTCTCCCTGCCATACACGCGTGTGTACACACACACAAAGTCCGTTCATTAGTTTTTCACTCCCCATATGTCCTCCATCTTTTCCCTCTTTTGTCCACACCCTCTTTCCGTCCCCCGCTTTGTTTGCTCACGGACGCTGCTTCTCGGTCATTCCGTGCACCCGAGTCCGGCGTGCCGAGCAGTCTCCCGGTAATCACTGGCTAATATTCAGAGGCAGTAGCCATGCCTCTGACCGCCCTGTCCCTCGTCTCTGTAGGCCCTCTTGTGGGCACAGGATGATAGCTCTCACCAGATTGAGTGGAGAGAGGCAGCCAAGTGTCAGAGTGACTACTGACCAGTTCACTCTTTCCTGACCCCACTTAGAGACAGATCCTTTCTTTGTATGTGACTCTGGAGGGACACAAAGGCTCAAGGTCTTGCTGTGTTGAACAGCCTTTCTTGGCCCAAGGAAAGGGGAATCCCTTTCTCCCCCAAGGCTAGAAATATACAGGGACCAGTACACGAATAAATATGGTATGTAGCTAAACTTTAACTTCGGAGAATGTCTGATCATATGTTATTAATGTGTTTGTTTAGCCTCAAACTTGAGCAGTTAGCATTAAGATCCTCTAAGATGGGGCTTTGTGTGTTTAACTTGTCATGTTTTTAAAATACCTTCAGAATCAGAAAAAAGTTAATACCTACTTACTGGGGGAGAAACTAAAGGAGTATTAAGAAAAAAAAATCCCATTCTCCCACCACATGTACAGTTACAGTTTCATTTTATTTCTAGTATTTATTGTAATAAGCCTGCTTATTGGCTTTCGGTACCCCAGATATGTAACATATAGGCATTTGACTGAAACCTTTTCTTTGTCTTCTTCCAAGTCATGTGTGTCAGGCAAGTGTATGTTAGAACATCATACATTCCTACTCTGATTTCAGGACCAACCTTCTCAAAAAAGAAGGTAAAATGAGCCAGTCTTTATTCTTTATGAAATGTGAATCCTAAGGGTCAGTAGGAAGAGGAGTCTTGGAGCTAAGGGATTTGCTTCTGGGAGGTCCCTGCAGGATGCATTTTTCAAGCCCTGGGGTCTCAATTTGTGAGCTCTGTACCACCTCCCACCTGCTGACAGTGCCTCTGCTTTAAAGGGGCAGAGTGGTGGAAGGAAAAGAGAGAGTACAAGAACACTCAAGGCAGGAGCTACTTCAGAATGCTAAGGGGCAGAACGGGCAGGGGACTCGCCCTCCCCTCGGGCCAGTTAACAGACTGTGCCTAAGGTAAAAGGAGAAGGCCCAAAATAAACAATTACATATACACACACACACACTTATGTATATGTATATACACACACATACACTATATATAATTTATAGATATGTATTTCATGCTAAATTAAGTTTTTCAAAACCACATTTAAAAAGCATCAAGCATATTCTTATTTACAAAAGCTTAAACTATTTGGAACACTCAGTGGAGATTGGCTGTCTCCTAAAGTTTTTCTGTAAACAAGTACACAAATTACTCCTACCTTGAGTTTTTACATGATTTTTCTTCAGTAGTAATTCATGTGAATTGCACATACCAAATTAACAGGTGAATGCCGGAGAATTTATTGCTGCTGAAGTTAACAGCAAGCTGACCCTAAATTGCTAACAGATGTTTTCCCTTTTTAGCCCCATTGGAATTCTGAAGGCAACAATGTTTCTTCTTTTTGCAGAGATTGAGGGAGGTAGAGAAAGAAGGGGAAATGAAAACAAACCGGAGATCGAGAAATGTATGCCTCCATTTTCACCAGTGTTGGAACATTCTGAATTTGTATGGAGTTGGTCTTCAAAAGTTAAAAAAAAATAAAAAAGGTTTTAAATGTATATTTAGTCAGTTTAAACCTTCATTTAAGGTTTCTTTTTTCTCTGTAGCAAGAAGATCCTTATAGGAAGAAGAAGCTTCAGGAGAAAAAAGAAGGAAATTTACAAAATTTAAGTTGGAATAAAAATCGAACGTGTCGTAAAAACAAGAAACGGGGTGCTGCTCAGGTCTTGAGGTGTGTTAATTTTTACAATCCCTTTAAAATTTTCATCTATTTTTTACTCTAATTTTACACTTAGCTGTTACCGTTTAATCTGTTTTTGTGATACTCTTTTGAGAAGAGAATATTGACGTAAAAGTACGTTATTAAAATTAATATGTATTCTTGTTATGTTTTCATTTATATTGTTAAAATACCTTAAAGTGAATAGATTTTTCGTGCTTTTACCTTACAAAATGCTCAAAGCTATGGGAGGTTTTTTGTTTTTTTTTTTTTAAGATTTTATTTATTTATTTGACAGAGAGACAGCGAGAGCAGGAACACAAGCAGGGGGAGCGGGACAGGGAGAAGCAGGCTTCCCACGGAGCAGAGAGCCCGATGTGGGACTCGATCCCAGGACCCTGGGATCATGACCTGAGCCGAAGGCAGCCGCCCAACGACTGAGCCACCCAGGCGCCCGCTATGGGAGGTTTTAAAGAAAAAGCATAAGGCCTCCTCTGTGCCAGGCCTTTCGTTCTGCCTGTGAAGTGCGGGAGCGTTTGTGGGGCAGGTGACGGAGAAAACAGCTGGGTGCTGACAGGCCTCCCCTCCCCAGCGTTACCCTCACCCATGGGGTCCCGTAGTGAAAGAGTCACCAGAAGCTAGGTTCTTACATTTCTGGGAAGTGAGGGGCCGAGACATGTGTTTTGCTGAAAGCCCCAGAGTTGGTAAGGGGCAGAGCCAGAATTGGTATTCTCCTTTGGAAACCTTGCTTCCTTAGGTCACTGAATCTGCCTAAGCTTTCATTTTCTTATTAGTAAAATGAAGGCACTGAATAGTGTTTATGTGGGAATCCCATATTTTTTTTTCAACAGGTCATTAGTGCATATATTTTTTTTTTTAAGATTTTATTTATTAGAGAGAGCACGAGTGGGGGGTGGGGGTTTGGCAGAGGGAGAAGCAGACTCCCCGTTGAGCCAGGAGCCCTGTGCCAGACTTGATCCCAGGACCCTGGGATTATGACCTGAGCCCAAGGCAGACGCTTAACCGACTGAGCCACCCAGGCGTCCCTGTAGTGCATACATTCTGACTCCAAATCCATCTGGTGGTATAGTCTCTGAATTTTGATTTCTTGGGTTAGACTTCTAAACGCCCAACATGTGCCCAAGTCGAGAGCCTCCAGTGGAGATGCTTTCTCCTGCCTTTTCCTCCCAAAGTGCATGGAAGGAGCTTTTCCAGTGTCTCTTGCACTGACAGTGCCTCCTTCAAGGACCCTAGTTTTATTTAGGAAACAGTTCCAGGTCCCCAACTCCTGTATGTGACTGTCCTTGAGCAGGGAATAAAACCCAGCCCCTCCTGAGTAATCCCTCCATCCTCACCGCTCTTGCTTTTTCTTCTTTTGAGTTCTGGCATCTGGGGATTTCTTTCTTGTAGGCTCAGCTAGGTATTTGTATGTGTTTCTGTCAAATTGTTCTCTGGTGGCTCCCAATCTTTCTGTGGAAGGGGCCCCACCTTGCTGCGGTCGCGCTTGTTGTGGGAAGGGGACTCGGGCAGCACAGCTCACATGGAGGTGAGGACCACGGGGTGGGGAGCATATTTGGTGCTGCTCACGGCGTCGTCCCTAGGTCCCTGAGGTGGCCACGATCTGGAGCTCAGAGCCGGTGATTCAGCAGTGTCGTGTTGTATACTCTGCTGGAGAACGGTCAGGCAGCTCCAGGGGCCCTGGCTCACACTGGGCAACAGCAAAATGCAAACATGAAAAAAGAATAGTCTCATCGTTAGTTTGTTGTTAATACCAAATACTAACTGTTGATTGGTAATCATCCTTTTAATATAGGCTAAATTATTTAAAAAACTGCAATGTGGTATCTTATAGAAAGTTACACCTTATATTCTTTTTACATGTATTTTCATTAAAAAAATTGATTGATTTAGATCACTTTAAAATATTACATTTTGGGGGCGCCGGAGTAGCTCAGTTGGTTAAGCGTCTGCCTTTGGCTCAGGTCATGATCCCGGGGTCCTGGGATCGAGTCCCACGTTGGATTCCCTGCTCAGCAGGGAGCCTGCTTCTTCCTCTCCCTCTGCCCTTCCCCCTGCTTGTGTGCATGCTCTCTCTCTCTCTGTCAAATAAATGGATAAAATCTTTTTAAAAAAATAAGTATTATATTTTCCTGATGACATATAGGAAAATACAAAAATCAAGTGGAATTTCACCAATTAAGTGTCAGGGTATATTTCTATAAGCAGATTTCTGACATGCTAAAGAAACAAGTTGTTAAAAAAGAACTGTTAAGTATCTTGTAGCTAATCAGAACATTCTGGGAACATGATGCTTAAGAAGTAGGTGGTTGTCAGATTATCTGTTTCCTTGGCTCTTGCTTCTGTCTATTACACTCTTTACCTTGAGTGGTCAGAAACCGGTGAAATCATGTGCTATGGCTCATGTGTTTTGTCTTCGTAACTGCCATCCTACAAACCTGCCACAAGGTACTGAAATTGGACCATGTGAGTAGCCATCTACATACTCCTGTGGCATCCTCTACCATTTCTAAATGTTTAGCCATTTGCAAAACCATTACAGTTCTTTCCCCCAAGGAGTTCATGGTCTAGTAGAGAGATGTTATCATTGGGCCATGAATTCCTTAGGGAAAGAACTTTATGCTTTGTAAATGCTACACCTTTCCTAACAATACATGGCACGTGGTAGTCATTCAACAAATGTTTGCTAAATGAATGGATGAGAAAAGATTTAAATTAACCCCCAGACACCAGGGAGTAGGTTCATCTACTGAGAATCATACTTTACATTAAAGCCAAGGAAGATGGGCCAAGAGTCCTGGGTTCTGGTCCTGGACTTGCCACTTAAGAAATGATAGAAGGACTCATTTAACCTTGTGGACTTTTATTCCTCTCACTGTGAACTAGGAAGTCGATTAAATGAGCTCCAACTTGATTGTAGTTCTAAAACAGCAAAATCTTTGTCTTTTTGATATCCTTCTCTTACTCAGTGTCTTCTCCCCCAAAACCCTAAGAACAGAGGTCTTGAGTTGTCCCAGGTTCATATTTTCACCTCTGATAAGTCTCCTGGAAAGCAAGGATGGATGGATGATAACTTTTCAAATGTGATATTTTTGTGGTTCTTCTAGGCCCTCTGAACAGAGTGAATTAAAACTTGTGTGCAGTGAATTTGAAAGGTCCGAGCTGAGCAGTGACATCGATGTCAGAAACTGGTGTATACAGGAAAATCCTGGGGAAATTTGTAAGACCGATGCTGGCATTGGAAGCAGCTTACCTGCTGCACAGGGAGAGGCAGGTATGTAACTATATTGAGCTGTGAATGGTGCTTCTGTCGGAAGTTTTGATTCCTCTAGGAAGTATCCAGTGTAAAGAAATGGGTCTTGACATGAACAGACACTTCTCCAAAGAAGACATAGAAATGGCCAACAGACAGATGAAAAATGTTCAATGTCATTGGCCATCAGGGAAATTCAAATCAAAACCACATTGAGATACCACCTTACACCAGTTAGAATGGCAAAAATTGACAAGGCAAGAAACCACAAATGTTGGAGAGGTTGTGGAGAAAGGGAAACCTTCTTACACTGTTGGTGGGAATGCAAGCTGGTACAGCCACTCTGGAAAACAGTGTGGAGCTTCCTCAAAAAGTTAAAAATAGAGCTACACTATGACCCAGCAATTGCACTCCTGAGTATTTACCCCAAAGACACAGATGTAATGAAAACAAGGGGCACATGCACCCCAGTGTTCATAGTAGCAATGTCTGCAATAGCCAAACTGTGGAAAGAGTCGAGATGCCTTTCAACAAATGGATAAAGAAGATGTGGTCCATATATACAATGGAATATTACTCAGCCATCAGAAAGGATAAATACCCAACTTTTACATCAACATGGATGGGACTGGAGGAGATTATGCTAAGTGAAATAAGTCAAGCAGAGAAAGTCAATTATCGTAGGGTTTCACTTATTTGTGGAACATAAGGAATAGCATGGAGGACATTAGGAGAAGGAAGGGAAAAATGAAGGGGGGGAAATCAGAGAGGAAGACGAACCATGAGAGACTATGCACTCCAAGAAACAAACTGAGGGTTCTAGAGGGGAGGAGGGTGGGGGGATGGGTCAGCCTGGTGATGGGTATTAAAGAGGGCACGTTCTGCGTGGAGCACTGGGTGTTATGCGAAAACAATGAATCATGGAACACTACATCAAAAACTAATGTAGTATTGTATGGTGACTAACTGAACATAATAATAATAAATGGGTCTTGAGGAGATTATCACTTTATAGGCAGCTTAGCTTACGGCAGCCCAAATGGGAAGGTATCAGGATGAGACTGGAAACCTGAGATTCTTTTGAACCTGGGCAGGCCTCTGGTGTTCCCCTCTCCTCCCTCCTCCTTCCTCTAAAACCTGGCCATTCTCCACTCTCCCCATGCAGAGTGTTGAAGGCATAGTGGTTGCTTAGTCTGGGGGATGGCCAGGTGGGAACCGTGTTCTTCTCACACACCTGAGTCAGGTGGTTCCTGCAGACCAGGCTGCTGGCCCACCTGAGAACTGCTGGGCAGTCTCTGGGAGTGGGAGGTAGAGGGCATGCAGAGCGAGGTCCAGGGTAGGCCAGAGCATAGCAGGAGGCTCAGGGGCCGCCGAAGCTGGCTGTGCCCATGGGGTGGGGCGGGGGAGTGGTCACCCTCCAGGCCGGCACCCGTGTCCCCAGGCCCATGCCCGCGTCAGTGCACGCAGGCTGCCGGACACACAAGCTGACAAGAGTTAGGGAGTTTCTCTCTCCGTCTTCTCACCCGTTCCCTTGACACGCATGTTGGTTTTTGGTCTTCTTGGAGGTCCTTTCCACCCACACATAAATAATAATTTGAAGCTCTTAGTGGAAATCGTAATAGAAGAGAGCAGGACTTTACCTATAAACTTCCAGTTGGTTGAGTAGGCTGTTTTCTTTCCCGGAGTGTTCATTCCCAGAACCATTGTTAGATCACAGTTATCATTGGCAGGGCGGCCTGAGCCCTGGACACGCGTGAGCGTCCACCCCACGGCAGAGCTCATCCCCCACGGTTCCCCCGCGTCCCGTCATTGGTGTCAGGTAACTTCGTTCTTCTCCCTGGATGAGCAGAGGTAGAGCAGACCCTGAAGCTGAACGTGGCCTCCTTCCTAATTCTAGCTCTCTCCTTTGATGGGACGTGGCATCCAGTTGAAAACTGTTTAACTGAAACATGACGCCTCTCTGCCTTCCCACAGAGGGCTACTACCCGAAGCCCGGGGAGAAGTGCATGGAGAAGTCCTGCTCTGATTCCAGCTCGGACTGCGGCAGCTCCTCGGGCAGCGTGCGGGCCAGCCGGGGCAGCTGGGGCAGCTGGAGCAGCAGTAGCTCCGACGGGGACAAGAAGCCCGTGGCGGGCCCTCAGCACTTCCTGCCGGCCGGTGAGTCCCGGGGGGTGGTGGGGGAGGGGGGCCCGGGCCTGCCAGCCGCCCTCAGCCAGCCCGGTCCCAGGCCGGGATCTGCCTTCCAGCGCCCGGAGCCCACGCAGGGCCACAGGTTGGAGCCGCAGGTTGGAGTACCGGCTTCGCTTTGGATTCCATTCACTCTCTTGTTTTTCCCTCCTTCCTTTTTCTCCCCTCCCCACCCCACTCCACCCCACCCCATCATCATCATCATCATCATTTCAGTGTCTGTCTTTGAAACAGTTCAAAGAACTTCCACATTTATTTTATTACTTGCGCGTTTTTATTATGGTAAAATATTTGTAACAGAATTTACTGTATTTAAGTGTAGCATTCAGTGGCATTAAGAGCACTCCTATTGTGTAACCATCCATTCCTCGAATCCTCTCATCAGCCCAAACAGACTTTGCACCTTTAAACAATGGCTCTCTGTTCCCCACTCGCCGCTTCCTCAGCCCCTGGAAACCTCTCTGCTGCTTCCTGTCTCGATCACTTTTGACTACTCTAGTGTCTAAGTAGAATCACACAGTGGTTGTCCTTTTGTGTCTGGCTTATTTCACTTAGTGTAATTTCTCCAAGGTTCTTCCATCCTTCCTTTTTAAGGCCAAATAATATTCCATTGCATGTACATACCGCATTTTGATTATCCATTCATCTGTTGATGGCCACTTGGGGTGTTTCCACCTTTTGGCGCTTGTGAATAATGCTGCTGTGGATATTGCGGCCCTCTCTTTATTTTTGAGAAATTTGAAGATTTGGGAAAGGTCAAAGGTCATTTTTTTTTAAATAATGCCTTATAGTCTGTTCCACTTTCACCTCCTCAAGAGAATCACTGTCCACTGTCGTGAACTTGGTGTGTATTCTTCTAGTCCATGTTTTATTTTACCTTCATACGTCCACCAACAAAGTATAGAATATTTGTGACTTACATAAAGGAAATCACACTTCAGTATATCATTCTGCATCTTGCTTCTTTCACTGTTTTTTTAAGCTCCGTGACCATATAAAGATGGCGTTCGTTCCTTTTCACTGTTGTTTTCAACATAGTAAATTTAGTCTTTGTGTAAGGGAACGGTGGTGAGATTGAGAAGCTCGCGTGTGTGAGGCCTTCGTCCCGGGTCACACTCGCACTGCTCTCACGTGGCCTTGAGAGGGAGGGCCGGCGCCCCCCGGGCCAGGCTGAGGTGTGAGGCCCCGGGCTCAGAGAGGTTGACGGCTTGTTCCGCACCCCAGTTTGCTCACTGCCAGGGGCTCGCCTCGAACCCTGTCTCCTCCGCCAGACAGGCCGCTTCAAGCCACAGACAGCTCCCTTCAGCAGCCTCTGGGCTTCTCTCTTCTCTGTCTCCTCCCCGTGGTGAGACCTATAAAAGAAGGTCTTGGCTGAGAGACCAGGGCACGATAGCCATAAAAACCTACACAGGGCACCCACGTGTATCTTCAGGCTGTGTTTTGTT